TGAAGGCAAGATAACAAATACATCAAGATTCAGACAATATTTGAAAGAAAGAGGCTTAAGGATTTCAGCGAGTCTCGATTTTGGTTCGAAGAACGAGAAGTGTATTCTTGCGAGGGAAGTTAGAACTTATTCGAAAAATACCTATATAGTCGAATTACTCATATGGTCCGGCCCGTTAATAACCAAACGAGTATATACTCATATGATCGGACCATATAAGTATACCCATATGGTCATGACCATACGCGTATGGTCCAAATACTCGTATGGTCCAGAACATATATATACAAGAGCGTCTCATGAAGAATAAAAAGAAGCTAGAATAATCCTTAAACTTCACGTTCCGCTATAAAAATATGATGTCGTCTCACTAGACAATTTAAAATCTGGTGATTATGTTGAACGCATCTATCCCATCGAACTTGAAATAAACAATGACACAGATACATTTAAGTCTGCTTCATATCATGACTTTAATCTAGAGATTGACAAAAGAGATGATATTAGCTTCCCAAATGTGAACTTTCCATTTCTATATTGCAACATTCCAACAGCGCCTGCATATGGAGTATATATCTCCCTGTTGATACGTTATTCCAGAGCTTGTGTTTCCTATCATGATTTCCCTGACAGAGGGTTGCTGCTTGCAATGAAGCTTTTTGACCAAGGGTTCCAAGTGTTAAAGAAAGTCATCCTATCGAAAATTTTACGGACGCCTTCAGTTGGTTGTCTGACTGTTACGTAATATATGTCTCACCTATGACGACAGATATGTTTAAATTGTCGTAACCACAAACCTGTCCTCCTTTCCTCGAAGAGACCCTACCAAACCAGATTCATCACTAAAAGCGTACTTACATGAGCAACACGAGGTATGCCACATGTGGAGCAGGATCTGCATAAACATCCAGAGAACCTATTATCACTATCATATTTTGAATTTAATTTGCAAAACGCGAATCGTATGAAAAGTCAAATTGATAAGCAGGTAACTATTGACACTGAAGTGAGAATCTAGATCCCCTTCTCAACCCATTCGGACGGATTACACAAAGATCTTAAAAAACAAAAAAACGAAACGAAACGGAATGAAAATGAAACATCTATAAAAATGCAATTGAATTTGAAATAATAAGACGTAATAAATTTCCTTGTTTTTTCAAGAATAAATGCTGTCCATTTTTACTTTATTATATCAAATATCCCGGTGCATTGGTGTTATAAAAAAAAAAGGTGTTTCGTCGTGCGGATTCATTGAATCTCAACAATTTATTTTTGTTTTGCATGAAAAAAGTCCCATTATTTTGTAGTCTCGCTCCTCTCGGCGATATCCTTATGGTGGTGACCATTAGCCTCAAATCAAGGATCACCCCCTTATTTCCTCGTTACAGTTCTGGTCAATTACGTTTTCAAATTAAAATGTCATTATGTTAAAACGTAATTTCAAAGTGGGTGCCATTTTTGTTTACTCCAAAATAATGAAAAATAGTAAAAATGATAGAAGACACCAACCAACTACAAGATTATTAGACTATAGAATATCATTTTGTTTTCTTATCGCACTTTCAGAAGTTTGTCATCCCGCCACGTTTCAGTCCAACTAAACTATTGCCTTCGAATATGCATACACTATTTGCCGATTGATTGTCGCTAAGCAGACCTCAACCAAATAATGAATTTATATTTATAAACATGGACTTTCAAGCAAAAAAGTTTCTTTGATACATAATATATTTAAACTTGAATGAGTTAGTCACTTGCATCTTTCAATATGAAAAGAAATATGTGTGATATACCCATCGAAATAATTTCCTTCGATGATCTGGCGACTTAGAACACTTACTGGCATCTAACAAATTCTACTGATCTATATAAAATGTTGTGAGGAGACTTCACGAAACCTGAAGGCATGGTTTTTTTCTTTCTTTTTTTCTTCTAATTGTGCGACTGATGTTGATACCTAGGTTCCTGAAGTAGCGAGTACAATTTGGACTTCTGTTCAATTATGTGCCGTAGTTTATGTCCTTGTTCAATTTAGTGGTCATCATTTTGGTATGTTGATGGCTGTACAGGTACATATATATATTGTGAGTAACTTTTTTTAAGACACATGGTATTTATAGGTAACGAGCAAAGCTGGTACTCACGTAAAACTGAATAAAACTCACCACAGTGTGTGCATTTACAAAGTCAAGTTATCTAGACCATGTGCTATTCGTTGTTGTTTGACTTGAATGTACGCATATTTACTTGGAGAAATCGTTGGTTGGCGTTGTCTTATTACTGTCACCACTCGTAGCGGACGTAGCTGTTTATTTCCACAATCCGCACACCAAAAAACCCTTAAGAGAAGATGGTCGTAGTCTCAATCAAACCAACTCCTTTTCTTTCCTGGTAATATCTTATAAAACAAGCAAATTTTATGGTCATTTTTACTATTTTTCAGAAAAGAACTAATTAATTCCAACCTGCAATATAAGCCCACCTATAAGATAAACAGAATGTGATATGGTACAGCGTGTAACTTCTATTATGAAAAATACTTTTATAACATTTTTTATAGATATTGAATATTTCAAGATAAGGTGCTAAGTATAATTACTCAATATTTGTCCAGCGTGATCTGCTTACGGAAGGTTAAACATATCCTGCTCCACATGTCTCACAATTGAGAACACACACACAATAGGGATTTCAGAAAGAAGCAATCAGAGCAACATTCGAGAAGTCAACAATTGGCAAATTACGGGAACCTACAGGCTACAATCATCTAAAGCAAAATTTAGCAAAAACCAAAAATCTGTAATATTTGAACTCAGCTCCAAAGCAGGAGAGGATATTTGGTCAATTCCTGGTTAGGGAGAATCTCTGGAAAGCATTAGACAAACCCATATAAACAAAATAAGTAATCTGAAAGGGGGTGGTATAGCTAAAAATTCGTAAGGGTTCCGTGGAACTCAGTGTCTCGCATACTTTTGCTGTTGTCTATGTTTTCAGTGTGACAAAAGTCGCAGGCTCAACAAAAATGGGGAAAAAATTATTAAAAAATTTCCTCTAGAAAATCTTTTGATTGTAAGAAGCTTCTGTCCAAGTTTGGTAAAAATCCAGGATGGTTTATGAATCCGTAATAAATGTTTTAAAAACTTTAACTGCAGACTGTATGTAATGTTAACTGGAAGAAAAACTAATTCCATTTATAAGTAATATACGGAAAAACAGGAAATAATTTTTTACAAAATTTCCTTCTAGATACTAGCTTTTGATCATAAACAAGCTTCTGTCCAAGTTTGGTACAAATCCAAGATAGTTTAAGAAAGTTGTTAAAATTTTAAAAACTTTAACCACAGAATGAATGTAATATTAACTGGCAGAAAAACTATACAAGTCCATTTATAAGTAAAATATTGAAAAAATGATTTTATTTTTAAAAATTTACTTTTGGATATTATCTTATGATCATAAACAAGCTTCTGTCCAAGTTTGGTAGAAATCCTGGATAGTTTAAGAAAGTTATTAAAATTTCAAAAACTTTAACCACAGAGTGAATATATGTGGACGCCGCCGCCGACGACGCCGACGACGGAATGTAGGATCGATATGTCTCGCTTTCTCGACAAAAAGCAATCCCATTTGTTTGGGTTATTATTGACTGCATCAGAGAGTCTTTTAACTTTTATTCCGCTGACACACTCAACATCGACCAAATACATATATACTGGCCAGTGTCAAATTAGGAGTGGATCCTGGATTTCTGAAAGGGGTTGTAATTCCATAAAACGGTATAAATACTGCCGAACGGAGCGAGTCGAAAAGAAAATATGCTAAAAAAAATATATATTTTACAATCAAAGCACGCCCTCTTCTCCCCTTACTGGGTGCGCCGCTGCAAATATCATATAGTCTTGAAAATACATGTGCAGGCCGACCAAAACTCACAATACCTATAGCTGCTATAATATATAATTGTTCACAATTCACCTCAGTACATTATCTATACTAGGATTTCAGCACTCTGCATTTATATGTATATGTGGCATCACCATAAGATATAATCTATAGAAAGATTACAACTAAGGCAAATATTGATTACTTCTTAAATCGCATATACAAAAAGAAAAGATGGACCAAGCTGTCTGTTTGGGATGCAATATTAACTGTTTTTATCTGTGACTAGATTGGCTGTTTGTCATATAAGCTACATTGTAGGACCTTAGCAGGATGTCATCAAATACATATATTAAAATTTCACATGTCTCGAGTTCACTGTACATCTATCAAATTTGTTTATTAAAAATAAGGAGGTGTGGTATGATTGCCAATGAAACAACTATCCATCTAAGTACAAATGGAATTGATGTAAGCAATTAAAGGCAACATTAACATTTGGATAAAGTTACCTTAACACCTTTCAAAACCGACATAAACATTAAAGTTGTATGATCGACATGTTTCAATCTTTTACGATTAACCACAAGCCGTACGACGGCCTATCAAAGGAAAAACCGGCCAGTAACTAACCATAAAAATCAGTCGAAAAAGGCTTAACTCATCAGATGGATAAAATAAAAATGATATGCTGATATTTTTAGCTAATATACTACTGATTAGATTTACCTTTTAAACATTGTTATCAAACCTCATTTTAAGTTTAAAAAAAGACCGAAAAACTCATTTAAGTTATCCTACTATTATCAATTAGTTGGAAATCATAAAATGCGTTTATTTGAATGGTGCATGCTTTGTTTTATTTGTTATTATATATGTTTTTATATTTTCGGCGAAAAGTTCATCAGATCTTATGTTTCAAATGTTTGTCAATATGCCGAATCAAATAAAGCTGTACTTACTTTATTTACTAATTCATTTAGAGGCACACGTTTACGATAATTCAATTTTTTTAAAAGTCTTTTCACTTAAAAAAATTTCCCTCGAGGAATTCCGGATACCTTACAGGTCATGTACCAAGAAAGTTCATGAGTTATTTACGGTGTGTGGTTTCCGGTATAAAAAAAATGCCGCGAAATGATGCTTAGTTCTGCATCACAAAAAGAATCTTACAAGTGGTAAACATATGGGTAAAGTTACCTTAACACCTTTTGAAACCAACATAAACATTAAAGTTGTCTGATCGACATGTATCAATCTTCACGATTAACCACAAGCCATACGACTGCCTAGCCCAGGAAAAACCGACCAGTAAAAAATATTGTCTGTACATTAAAATTTTCATGAAAACATTGGAAAGAACTTTATAAACTCAAAGCAATTTTATGAAATGTTGATTTTCTGTTTTTTTTTAAGTCTGATTCTTTAACGTCATCACAATGATTTCAAACGGCAGGTTCAGATTGATTGCCGTTTAACGCAACTTTCAACACATGTGCCATTTCATGGCTGTCGGTTTTTATTGATGGAGGCAGCCAGAGTGCCTACTGAGAACCATCAACCTTCGGTATGAAAGCTGACAATCTGCTAGGCTCAAATGTTGGGGACAACTGTTCAAATTAGATGATATTCCAATTTTGATTTTCTTAATGAACTGCCCCAGTTGACCAGGGGTCATTTGGGGGAAAAATGTTGTAGGTGACATGAAGATATTTTCTTTGTGATGTCAAATGTTCTATGTGAAAAAGCACTAGTTGTATGGTCATGTATCCAGCTAATTGATATTTCCTTTGGGTTAAGGGTTTGATTAGCATGATTAGTAATATTTTCCTCTAAGTTCCAGAACAGCATGAATTTTAACCTTAATTGAAGACTTATTTAAACAATATAAAGGTGATTAAATGTTTATCATGAAGCAGCTTCCTGATACTGTTTGCTAGATTTCACGTTGCTATAAAACATCTTATTATATTTTTTTTGTATGGTAAAAAACATAGAATAGATAACATCAAGCTGAAGCAATCACAGAACTTTATATATCCGCAAGTTCTTGATTCAGTCAAGTTCACAAACAAAACCGTCTTACATAATGATAAAATCACATAAACCATCTATGTAAAATGTAATGCTCTGAATTCTACATCATTTGTTCTCTAGTCTCATTGGCAATTAATGCCAAATCTTCTTATTTTAATATTGAAGATTTAAAACAAAAGTATGTTTTCACTTTTCATCTAATACCCAGTGTATGAAAGTCCCTTTCGTCTGAAGATAGGAAAAGTATGTCTAGTCTCCTCAATTGTATTTGTCATTGAATTTTTATCCAGTAAACTAAAACCTCTATACTCGCATATTTTGTTGTTTCAGTTGATTAATTTTTCCTTCATGTTTTTTGCTCAATATTTTCACGTCTTATTGATTTCAGCTGATCTTTTTTTAAATAATTTTGTATGATCATCCAGGGCTCACACTACCAGGCAACTAGGGCGAAGAAGTCACTTTTCCGTCCGTCACTTCGCTTTGCCTGACCCTCAAAAGCGAAAACAAGTCGCCTTGTTGTTTATGATACTCGCTTTCAGTTGCTTTCGTCGTCGGCAATATTCAATTTTTACCAAGTCGTTGAAACAGCAATTTTTCAGTTTAAAGTAAAAAAATTCAAGGCATAAACGATTTATTTTCTTCAGAAAAGAGGTTAAAGCATTGATTTTAAGGTTGGTGGCATGTTATTTCATAAAAACAATTGTTTATCACTTGTGGTACTTGTTACTCAGAGAGCTTACATCAAATCATTCTAACTTTCGGCAAAATAAGTTGTTACTTCATTAGAACTTGATGAAATTTGCCTAAAGTAAATTTGTTATCCATGTATTGCATTAAAAACGTCATACATGTATTCCTTTCCAAATATTGTGTCAAACATCGTTTATATTTGTAAATTTTTCTTCATCCGCCATTTAAATTATTAGGCATATTATTGTACAACTACAGATCGGAGTCGTTTGACAGGCTATGACCGAAATCCGGATTCTTACAATAATGACTACAGATGCATGAATGGCACTGCTGACAGACAAAAATTGTTCCCAAAAGGAAAAATTACACATTCCACATGCATTAACATACTTTTGGTTAGATCTTCTTGATTAATGTATATATTTCCATGTATATGCATTGTTTCAATTTATAAGTTAAAGTTGCTCAACTCTGGGACTATTACACTAATATAACTATATTATGTCCAAGCTTAACTGTTAAATTTATATATCCTTTAAATGAGAAATACTTAGTTTCATGAACATGAGAACAGAGTAGGTTTTTAATTGAATTTTAATTGATATAACAACTTTCTTTTCCTTTTTGATATAAAAAAAATCTTTTTTATTATTGCCAGATATTTAATTGTTTTTTTCTGACAAGAGGACTCATATGATTGTGTAACTAGATATGATAAAATTAAACAACTTTAAATTTGAACAGTTACTTTAATTGTATACCCAGGTACAAATTGAACAATATAAAAAAAATAGAAACATATGACCCTTAATGTATTATAGTAAAAACCAAACATTGTAGCGCCGTGAGCGAACAAGCACTTCTCTTTCAAATCTCACCACTTCTCCCTCTCAATTTCAAAAAGAGAAGTCACTTCTCCCTATGATTCTGAAGTAGTGTGAGCCCTGTCATCAGTGTACAGTGTAGTTTATCAGTTCAAAATCTGGCAAGTGGCAGTCAAGGGTCTAACTTAAATAAGTTATTAGAGAAAAATAACATACATGTGTTATAACAGATACTTTCATGAGTTGTCTGCTCTTTATTTCTTAATCTGTTGTTATTAGTTAATATATCAAAATACATTTTTAGGCAGTTAAGCTGCCTTATGCAAGCACCCTAGATTTGTGTTCTACCCAATAAATGCTGAAATACGTGCCATTGTTATTAACTAGCTGGCTATTATGTTATTTATAATTAATTGGACAATTTTTTTAATACTCATATTTCTGGAATACATGTACAAAAAATATGACCAGAAAAACTTTAATGATCGTCGAACTACCCAAAACTTTTGAAGTTGCACATAGGAAGTAGTGCTCAATAGAAATCCGTACGTAGTTTATTATCCCCTGTGCTTTTGGCTACGATGTCAAAGAACAATTGTCATGATTGTATGAAATATTTCATCGCCGAAAATCGGTAATTACAAGTCGTTTATATTTCCCAAATGGCAAAATGCGCAGGAATATTGTTCATGTTCAACAAATCTCTATGATAGAGGAAATAAAGTTATATAACTGGGTGGTAATTTTTAACTTATCTTGCCATATAAGATTGTTGTTATTTTATGAGTGAAACGAGGTCATGAAACAGATGCGGAAATAGACGTTGATGGGATGTTTTAAGTAATGTGGACAACTCGTCCCCGAGACAAGTCAGACCGAATCCACTCAAACTGTCTAAGAAGACAACTTTGACCGTTTGTCAGATTTACTTAGGGTTTCATAAAATATTAGACTAACATGTCTAGCGGAGCCATTAATCTTTTGTTTGTGCATTGGGGTCTATTTAAGGGTGTTTGGCGGGGCCTGAAGAAGGGAGGGGTTTACTATAGAACCCTATGGGATTTTATTTTTTTAAATTTTCAAATGACTATTTCTCGAAATCAGTAAGTGATAGACACATGCAGTCTTCAGTAATGAGAACAGGACAATAAAAAAAATCAACCAAAATATAGGGTGAGTCCCTGGGGGTCGTCCCAACCCCCTTCAATTTGAAAATGTACTTTTATCTTGTAAACCGTCGCGATCCCCACCCTAAACAATATATATACTTGTATGGGACAATAAAAGAAATCAAATGAAAAACAATTTGGTGGAGTCCCCGGTGTTGTCCCACCCCCTCCTGTTTGAGAACTTGGAAATGGTCGAGATCCCCACCCCTAAACCATATATATTCATGTATGGGACAATAAAACAAATCAAATGAAAATAATTTGGTGGAGTCCCCGGTGGTGTCCCACCCCCTCCTGTTTGAGAACTTGTAAACAGTCAAGATCCCCACCCCTAAACCATATATTTTCATGTATGGGACAATATAACAAATCAAATGAAATATATGGGGAGTTCCTTGGGTCACCCCACCCCCTCCTGTTTGAGAACTTGGAAATGGTCGAGATCCCCACCCCTAAACCATATATATTCATGCATGTATGGGACAATATAACAAATCAAATGAAATATAGGGGGAGTCCCTGGGGTCACCCCACCCCCTCCTGTTTGAGAACTTGTAAATGGTCGAGATACCCACACCTAAACCATATTTATTCCTGTTCATCATTTCAAAAAGATTTGAATGACATACAGGGTCAATCTCCTAGGTGTCACATATGCATATCACTTTACTAGACCAAACCAATATGAACTGGACTTTGCCCAATGTCAGGAGACCATGGGAATGACGAATTATGGAGGCTTTGTTTGGGAGACTTCGTAACGGCATCCTGTTACAATTATTTCTTGTTTATTATAAAATTTTATTGATGCAAAAAATGAGTCTAGGTGAATTGAAATTACTTTAACTATTTATTAAATTATTTCTGGGCCTATAATAATTTTCATTTATGGCTCATTTTAAAGAAAACATATAAATCTTTCAAGCAGTGTAAAGCCAGAAAATGTTTGACCAACTGCTTTATAATCACCTGTCATTTTATTCCAAACTTGGTATGGAGTAACATCATGCACTTGGGGGTGAAGATGGGGGTCATTTACATTGATATATGAGTTGCTTTTGAAAACCTTGATGAAATATTAATTAATTTGCCTTAATAATCAATTCATTTAATGAACATAAATGTACAATATACAAATGTTTAATGTTTGTTCTTTCATATCTTAAAAAAAATTGAAGCAACACTGCCACAGTTTTCATAATTACGTTTGCCTTGGTTTTTGGTTAACTGCCTACAGTGCTTACAGTGATTGATTTTTTTTTAGTGGGCTCATGGGATTTCTTGAAACTTTGGGCAGAAACTTAATGCATAACCTTGATAATTAATTTTCCAATTCAATTAATACATTTTTGATCAACCATGGTAAATCAATAAGATAAGGCTTTCTTTAAGAGATACACTAAGCTGTAATAACAAGGCTTAGTTATTACAGGCATGTAACTTATAAAATGAAACACTTGGAAATTACTGGAAAGCTTGCTCAGAACCTCATTACATGCTCTGATCATTATTTCTTACAATGAACTATAATACATTGTGATATATGTCTGAGAAATGACTTTGAAGAGATGTAGAAAAGCTGTAAAAACACCCTTTAGTTTTTACAGGTATATATTTTCTGTAATAACATAAGTGTACTACATGTATACATGATTGGCAAATTATAAACTGTTATATCTTTCTAAAGTTTAGTATACATAAAGACAATAATAATACCAGTAGAACTTGTATACAGTTTAACAAAGTAAAGGATGTATATTGCCTCTTTGAAACATGTAACATACATATGTTATCACAGTTTTTATACGACCGCAAACAAATTTTGCGGTCGTATATTGGTATGACGTTGTCGTCGGCGTCGTCGTCATACGAAGACACATTGGTTTTCGCACTCTAACTTTAGTTTAAGTGAATGGATCTCTATGAAATTTTACCATAAGGTTCAATACCACAAAAGGAAGGTGGGGATTGATATTGGGGGTTATGGTACCAACAGTTAAGGAATTAGGGGCCAAAAAGGGGCCAAAAATAAGCATTTTTGTAACTTCCAGAATTCACTTGTTTGTTAGTGTATGGATCTCTCTGACATTGTATCACAAGGTTCCATATCACAAAGGGAATGCTGGGATTAATTTTGGGGGTAATTGCTTCCAAATTTTAGGAATTAGGGGCCAAAAAGGGGCAAAAAATGAGCATTTTTCTAGTTTCATGACAATAACTTGTGTGTAAGTGTATGGATCTCTCTGATATTGTACCACAAGGTTCCATATCACAAAGGAAATGATGGGATTGATTTTGGGGGTAATTGCCTCCAAATTTTAGGAATTAGGGGCCAAAAACAAGCATTTTTCTAGTTTTAGGACAATAACTTGTGTGTAAGTGTATTGATCTTTATGAAATTGTACTACAAGGTTCCATATCACAAATGGAAAGCTGGGTTTGAGTTTTGGGGTAATTGCCCTAAACGTTTAGGAATTTGGGGCCAAAAAGGGGCAAAAAAACTAAGCATTTTTCTAGTTTCAGGACAATAACTTGTGTTCAAGTGTATGGATCTCTCTGAAATTGTACTGCAAGGTACAATACCACAAAGGGAAGGCTGGGATTGAGTTTTGGGGTGATGAATCATAAGGGGTTCAAAAATTTTTTGGGGGGGGATTTTTTTTTCTTTAAAATTTTTGAATTTAATGTATTCAATCTTCTTTATTATTTGAAATATAAAGGACCCCTCTTTTAGAAAAATTGTTCCAAAAATAATGAATTTTCCCCTTTTTTCATGTTATTAGTTTAAAAAAGCTCAGTTTTTCTTTTTTCTTTTATACAACAGCAAAATGACCCCTTGTCTGAGAGATAGCTCTCATTTGTGGGGTTGTTCCCAACTGGTCAATGGGAGATATTTCATAAATTATTCCTGTCACAGTAAATTCATTGTTCTTTATTACTTTAATCAAAAGTCTTGAAACTAATTGAATATATCAATAAAGGTGGTAGAATTTGATGTCGGGTGATGATCATGACCTTGTACCAAATCTGGGATAATGACATGAAAATCACTTGTTTAAGTATCATACCTCTATTTTCTTCCAAAAAATCACTTGTTTAAGTATTATTATTATAATTACCCCCACTAATTTCAACACCCCCGAGGAGTAAAATTTTGATCGCCAACAATAAAATTTAATTACATAATCTGTAAGATGAAACCTTGAAATTTACCATGTTTACAGGAAAAATACTCCCACTGCTGGAGAAAATTTGTTAAGAAAGTGTCAGTTCATTATGTAAAGCCTTTATTATAGCATTTTTTCAACAAATATAGAATTTACAGCTAAATGATTGCATCAAAGGCATAAAGCAAAAGGTTTATTTTTTTCAATTTTACTAATAAGAAGATATAATCTTAACCTATATTTTTTTTTAATTTTGGTAAAACTACAAAATCACAATTTGTGACAAAATTTCGAATTTGCTACTTAAATAAGTGATTTTATAAATCACTTATTTCAGTTTCAGTAATTCCCCTGACTGCTAACTGAAAACGGTTTTCGAAAAAAAAAACGAAAAAAAATCCGGATTTTTAAATTTTTTTATTATTTAACGTCAATAAAATGTTTCCAATCACAGCTGAAAAGGGGGTGGACGGGTAACCGGAAACACACATATATTTTATCTTGGCCTTATTAAAGTATGTGTCTAGAGTAGGTACTTCAGGGAATATAGATAAACTTTGGAATTTTGAGAAATGCTTATAAAAAAAAATTGTTGCTTCTGATTTAGCAATTTAAAAGATTTACCACTAAATGTAAAAGAGCCTATCTATCTTATTTCAAGTCTGGTCCATGGGTTATACATGACCATGTTAGGTACCTTACTTAAATTGTGGAAAAGTTATTTACATAGAAATAAATGGATCTGTACATTCTTTATCCCTGGTTGCATGCAAAATGCTGATAGTCATGGCAAGGCAGTTACAGAATATACAAATTGGACATATATTTAAAAATACTCCATAATATGATGTCTTTAAAATCTAGCACAACATGACACAAAGTGTTTCATTGTCAGGAACATCGGCAGTGCTTTTGTCAGTAACCTTTAAGAACACTTTGATAGCTGAGGAATAAGGAAAAAAAGAAATCTACAGTTTGTACAAACGTTAATCCAGGTTAATTACAGAGGCTATAAGATTTCAAGTTCTGTGGGTTCATCATTATTCTTTGGATACCAATTATTGTTGATTTTATTTGTTAAGGTAAACCACAAATTTCAATGTTCAACAAAAAATATGCACTTTCTGTAGATCAATGGGCTTGTAGTTGTAGGTAGACTTTGACATAACCAGTCAGGGGACTTATTGAAATAAGTGATTTTTAAATCACTTATTTAAGTAGCAAATTCGAAGTTTTGTCACAAATTGTGATTTTGTAGTTTTACTAAAATTTTAAACACATAGGTTTAGATAATATCTTTTCATTAGTAAAATTGAAAAAAATGAACTTTTTGCTTCTTTTAAGCAGCAAGGTTTATGCCTTTAATGCAATCATTTAGCTGCAAATTCTATTTTAGTTGAAAAAATGCTATAAAAAAGGCTTTACATAAAGAACTGATACTTTCTTAACAGATTTTTCCTAGCAGTGGGAGTATTTTTCCTGTAAAATTCAAGGTTTCATCTTATAGATTATGCAATAAAATTCTACTGTTCGCCATCAAAATTTCACTGTTCAGGGGTGTTGAAATTAGTGGGGGTTATTAAAATAATGATACTTAAAGAAGTGATTTTTTGGAAGGAAATTGAGGTATGATACTTAAACAAGTGATTTTTATGTCATTATCCTAGACTTAGTACAAGGTTATCACCTGACATGACCCGATCATCCTATCAACAACAGATGTTGGTTCTGATAATTTTAGCAACATAATTAGTCCCTGGATCATTAGTATTCTATATTTAAAGCTACAATAAAATTAAATCACTTAGTCTAGTGATTAATTTGTACTACTTAAATAGGTGATTATTAAAGAAAGACAACTCTTACTTCCAACCTTTATGGACAGAATGTTACTTGAATCAGTGATTTAGAAAATCACTCATTTAAGTAAGTCCCCTGACTGATAACACAGTCTTAGAATGTTCACAAGCTTTTTCTCAATCCACAAAATTTGAATCCACGAAAATAAATGAATCCACAGTATATAATATTATTTGTATTTTACATTTATAGGAGTAATGCAGTTAACAGAGGCATCAAGGGTAGAGTGTAGTGGGAAAGTCAAGTATTCCGGGATTGATACAGGAAATGTATCGTGGAAAAATGGAACTCTTATTATCCAGCTTCATAATGGACGATGGAGCATGAACTTAGAGTATGATGTCAGTCCAGGCAATTCACACAAATGTATAGCTGTAAGTGGAAGGGTTTAAATCAGTCTGGGTCATATACAAAATAAGAAGATGTGGTATGCGTGTCAATGAGACAATTCTCCATCCAAGTTTCAATGTGTAAAAAGTAAACAATTATAGGTCAAAGTACAGCCTTCAACACGGAGTCTTGGTTCATACTGAACATCAAGCTATAAAGGGCTTCAAAATTACTAGGGTAAAACAATTGAGACGGGAAAACAAACGGTCTAATCTATTTTAAAAAACGAAAATGAGAAACACTTATGAACCACATCAACAAACGACAACCACTGAACAACAGACTCCTAACTTATTGGTCAGTGAAGTTAATTAAACTCCAAATTTTATATTATCATGTAACCTTCAGTAACCTTTACAATTATTAATTAACTTAGCTTCTAACTATCTTATTAAATTCCTATCTTTTCTTTCTTATTTTTTTTAAATGGAAGGTTGTGGTTTAAAAATGTGCCTCCCACGTCCCCTCCCATAAGTTTAATTCTACAATAGCCCTTATATTTAACATTTTCATATTTTTCAGCTTTCTCCTGGTGTCATCAAGAAGTTAATTTGTAAGGCTCAGCTCGTTATTGAGTTACAGACTGGTAGTTCCTCCATGAATTTTCATTTGAAGCCGCACGGTCCTAAAGATGAGCAGGATATGAAACGAGTTTATGAAAAATTACTAAACATTCAGAAATTAAAGGATGGTTAGTTTATGCATTAATTTATTACAGTAATGAATAAAAAGAATGTTTGAATATACACCAATGAGACAGCTACAAAAAAAACCACATTAAAACCAAAAAAAAAACATTTTGATTAAGAGTGATGATATTTCAACCCCTGTTTCACTCCAATTCCTAGATAAATTGAATTAACCAAAAAGAGACTACCTAAAGTTAACGTTCTATACCAATTTCTTCATTTGTTTTCCAATATATTAATTGTATACATGTAAATTAACATGCTAACATAAAAAGACTTGCATAAATTTTATAACGATGATATTTGACCTCTGACATTCAGTAAATTTTATTTTCTAACTAGAAACATTTACCCTCAAACTTCTGATTATTATCCTAGGAAGGTAATCTTGACCTGATTGGAAATTTTTAGACAAAGATTGGAAAGATTGTAGGTACTTGTCATTGGGATCAAAATTCATGACATGAATAAAAGGAGATGTTAAGAATCTAGGTCACTGTGACTGCAATTCAACAGCACAAATAACAAATAGGTTAATGTGACTGCAGCTCAACAACACAAGTAAAAAAAAGTCACTGACAGCAATTCAACAACACAAATAAAAATACCAAAAAGTTCACTGTGACAGCAACACAAATAACAAAATGACATCTAATTGAACTCGTAATTTTATATTACCATCTATCCTTTACAATTAATCACTTAAAAATATCATATTAAATTCCTGTCTATTCTTTCAGATTTTTTTTAAAGGGGGGGGGGGGGGGGGGGTTGTGGTCTTTAAATGTGCCTCCCATGTACTCTTAGAGGGCAAAAAACAGCAATAGACAGGTATCCATTCAATATTTCAAGCTCTAAATCATTTTGATGGTAAATAAGTTATTAATAGATTTAACAGAAACAATGACAATACAAACCTAGAAAAGTCCATGCATGGGGATCATGAGTACAGATGAATATTGTATAAAATTATGACAAGTATTAAAGAACATGTTTCTAATTTAAAATATTGTTTCATACATTAGAACCAGGTTTAGCCAAAGCAGAAGTAAAGATGACACCAACCAAACAAGTCATTAGTAATTACCATACAGATCATCACATATCACCTGATACATTCACAAGGTACAGGTAAATTGTTTCCATAGTAACTGTTGTACCATGCAGATCATCACATATCACCTGATACATTCACAAGGTACAGGTAAATTGTTTCCATAGTAAATATATATATAACTGTTTTACCATGCAGATCATCACATATCACCTGATACATTCACAAGGTACAGGTAAATTGTTTCCATAGTAACTGTTGTACCATGCAGATCATCACATATCACCTGATACATTCACAAGGTACAGGTAAATTGTTTCCATAGTAACTGTTGTACCATGCAGATCATCACATATCACCTGATACATTCACAAGTTACAGGTAAATTGTTTCCATAGTAACTGTTGTTCCATACAGATCATCAAATATCTCCTGATACATTCACAAGGTACAGGTGAATTTCAACAATATCAACTGTTGTACAATTCAGCATATATCACTCACATGGTACAGGTGAATTGCTACCATAGTAACTTGTACAATTCAGGACAAACCTTCACAAAGTACAGGTAATTAGCTACCATAGTAACTGTTGTACAATTCAGCACAGTGACATCTCATATCATTTACATAGTACAGGTAAATGACTACCTATTAACTGTTGTACAAATGTTGTACAATTCAGGACAATAAGGTCTCATGTCATTTACATGGTACAGGTGAATTATTTCCACAGTAATTGTTGTACTTTTCAGCACAGTGTGATCTCCTTGCATTTGCATGGTACAGGTAAATGGTTTCCATAGTAAATGTAGTACAATTCAGGACAGTGTGATCTCATATCATTCACATATGGTACAGGTGAATTGTTTCCATAGTTATTGTACCATTCAGGACAACACGATCTCATCATTAATTTCACATGGTACAGGTAGATTGCTTCCATAGTCTGATAGTAACTGTGGTATAATTCAGCACAGTTAGGTCTCATTTCTTTCACATGTTACAGCTAAATTGTTTCATAATAACTCATGAACTGTTGTACATTAATTCAGGACAGTGAGGTCTCAAGTTAGGTCTCATATCCTTCACATTGTACAGGTAAATTGCTATCATAGTAACTGTTGTACAACTCAACACAGTGAAATCTCATATCATTTACCAGGAACACATCAATTGCTACCTATTACCTGTTGTCAGGGGTGAAACTTAACTTTGTAAGGCCAGTAGCCAGCTGGGCTACTAGACTTGAAAATCAGTTAGCCCAGACAAAAAGTTAGTAGGCCACTTTATTTCACATTGAGTATCACCGGTGAAGCCTGCGAAGCGGGCTGAACTTGCTAGGGGGTTTGGGGGCATGCCCCCCCCCCCCCCCCCCCCCCCCCAAGAAAATTTTGAAATTTAAGACTCAAAACCCTGCATTCTGAGCATACCTGGAGGTGATTTAGATGCTTGGGAAAATGTAAATTTTGTCTTATTTTTGTTGTTGACTTCAATCAAATTTAATAAAAAAAAATCATTTACAAAATGGGAATGAATCTCCATACCCTGTGTACCAGTTTTTTTTTAATATCTTTTTAAGACAACTAAAGAATTCTCTGTCCTTAAATACATGTAGATGATCGATGAAATATTTACTTTTATTTCTTTAATAATCTAATTTATTAAATATCTTGATCGATTTATTTTGCGTAACTAAGTACATTTGTAAATAAATGACCCCCCTTTTTTCTCAAAAGACTTGTACACGTATTTCAAAAGCATTGTCATAAAATTGATATCTCCTCTGATTTTCTCTTTTTTGTAAACTGTTCAGTAAGTAGGAAACTAAAATCATTTTGAACTAATGTTATTTATTTGTGGTCGACAATATTCTACTTTCGTTTTTGACCTTCATTCTCTGGACACCACGTGGGCTTTGAAAAGGGAACTACAAAAGGTACTGTTTTCCAGATTCTTAACAACATTATATATTATACGTTCTTTTATTTGACTGATATTATTTCATAACATGCTATTGTCATCTTCTCTGAATTTCTTCGCTTTCTTTAAGCCAAAACCTAACAGGGTATTTGATCGCTTCATATTGTAAATGACCATCAGAACGTCTCTCTTGTTATCCTTGCAAACATACAATACTTTCCGGACTTTAAATAGACGACCAATCAGTGACCTGAATTAATGTGAACTATATTTAGTCAAAGGTAAACACTGATTTTACATCCTTGTTTATCGCGACAATACGACTCTCGACACTTGCCTGTATATATTTTAAAAAGATTTTTTTTTCTTTTTGAATTTATATTTTTGTCAGTGAAGTAGCCGGCACTTGGAGCCACGGTAAACAGCGGATTTTCGTCTGTAGAGTACTTTGTTTTCAATTCGCCACCTGGGCTACCACAACTGAATAAAAAGATCGCCCAGGTAAATTTCTGGTCGCCATGGGCGACTGGGTGACCGTTAAGTTTTTTCCCTGGTTGTACAATTAAGAACAGTGAGGTCTCATATCATTTTCATGGTACAAGTAAATTATACAAGCCAGTTTTATCCCGTTTATTCAGGCATGTTAGGTACATGTACAGTGACAGTAAACACAATATCAATTTAAGTATGAATATTAATAAAAGGAGACCGTTTGTTATCTGAGACAGCAACCCAACAAACACAAAATCCAAGTTATTTAGAGGTCAAGCTACAATCATCAGCAACTGACAAGTGTCTGTAGAGTTTGTAGTGCTCTAAATTGTCTTGAGTTTAAATAAGTGGTGGAAAATTTAGATCTGCCGTCAACACTGATTTCCATAAAGGACAAAAACATTAAAAAAAAAGGTAAAAATTAAAATATAGAAGACTTTTTAGTTTTCTCGTTTGAATTGTTTTACATTTGTCATTTCGGGGCCTTTTATAGCTGACTATGGCTTTGCTCATTGTTGAAGGCCGTACGGTGACCTATAGTTGTTTATTTCTGTGTCATTTGGTCACTTGCAGAGAGTTGTCTCATTGGCAATCATACCACATCTTCTTTTTATATATGATGAGATTTCTGACTTTGGACATGCACATTTACCATGACAATATACTCAAGAAAAAACTTGCAAAGTTTCCTAAAATAGTAATATATAAAAAGAACTTGCAGAACATGTCTACTTCATGGATTTGATTTTTCTATGAAATCATGGAATATAATAATTATATTGGCTTCTCCTTTTATTCAAATCTTGACATTATAAATGATATCAGATTTATTTATGTTTTTTTTTATTCCCTATATATATATCTCCAAGTTATATGTATTTTATAAGTTTTATCTGGTATTTACATTATTGGTTAAACAAAGTTATATATATTTTATAAGCTTAATATCCTTACATTATTTGTTTGACCAGTGGTCTGGTTCTCTTTATTTTTACTGCAAAATGTCAAGCCAGCTGTCGGACAGACAGCTTTGTTGGGAAAATATAGTTTAATTGTTCATAATGAAAATGATTTGTTATTTATTTTGCAGTGTGAAACCAAAAGACAGAAAAAGATCGTTAGACAATGATAGTGATGAAGAGGGAAAAGAAAATAGGTACAGTAGTCCTCTATTCCTCAATAGAGAGGCCTTCTCTTAAATTGTTCCTCATTAGAGGTCAAACTGCCTACAGTCTGACTAAAGAAAAAACAAGTCTTCCCCCCCATCCCCCCCCCCCCTTTGAGAAGCAAATTATTAAATACATTTGTCTATATAAGAAAGAGCAAACCTTCATATTGCATAGTGGCCTTGGTGGCTGAGTGGTCTAAGTAATTCTTCTACATGTATCACTAGCCTGTCAACACTGAGGTTGTGAGTTTCACCCCACATGTGACAGATACATGCAACTTAATTCTTAATTGACTAGGATTGTCGGTTTTCCTGTAGAATATCAGTGGTTCTCTCTGGGCATTCTGGCTTCCCCAACCAATAAATACTGACTGCCATGATATAGACAATTGTACTGAGAGTGACATTAAGAATGTTCGCTCCTCTTGCTTTTGAATTTTTGCCAGATATTCGGAATCCTCTAATTTTATCCATGTAATGGCATTAAGAATTTTGCCCGCTAACCCCTTCTTTTCTCTTCATTATTTTATATGTAGTTTAAAAAGCCAAATTTGAAAATTTATAAAATCCTTGTTATTTTTTCATAGCTTTGTAAAGAAAAAAGGGGCCAATGTTAAATGTATGAAAAAACTAGAGAGAATCATTTCCCGCCAAATTTTAAATGGCTTATATCTCGAAAACAAGCACATGAACCCTTCATTTTTTTCTGCTGTTTTAGTTCCTTTATAAAGTATCAATTTATAACAGTCTTTTAAAAAGCTTGTTATTTTGAAACAGAGTAGCAAACATCCTTAAGGAAAATCATCCCTCTGATGAGGTCTATTTATAAAAAAGACCAAACTTTATAGGGTAATGTTATAAAGCAAGACTGTCTCTCATTGGGTCCTTTGAAAGACATTTATGAAAAATGTCAAGAGAGTCCATGCATTTGAACATTCATCAATTATTCATAGGTTCTATGTATATAGCTATCATAACATTAAGCAAATTTAAGGTGGTACCCAACACCTTGACTAATATTAATTTGGCTTGTTTAATTTTCATAAAATTTTGACAAAATGTTTACTTTGACCCTTTGACAAAAATATAAAAATTTCAAAAAATTTGAACCAACCAATTTATCAGAAAAATTTCATTGGTTATATAGCAGTTTGACAAACACTAATTTTGATCATTGAGAAGCTTAATATTTCCTTAACAATACAACGTAATTAAAACGTTTAGTTGATTTTTACAGAGTTATCTCCCTGTAGTGTTAGGTACCACCTTAAACACAATTTTTTTTACATGAGTCAAATGAAAGGCTGATATTCCACATGTAAACTAAATCCTGTCAAGAGATTTGCAGCAACATGAAGTGAAATAAGACAGTTATTGGTTTCAATTCTTGCATGTTCTACCATATTTACATTCAACATCAAAGTAATAGAAAGAATGATACATTTTTTTCTTTATTTACATTTAAATTAATGTAATAAAAGAATGATAACACACAATTTTGAATGAATTAGTTGTTGGATTACTAGCTGAATATTTTATGTCAATCAAATAATATTCATGTATAACTGTACATGATGTACACAATGGAGTTATCATTATAACACATTTCTGTAGTATTTTTTTCATCCTTTAGAACAAGAAATGGCAATGAGAAGTTTTTAGAAAGGGCAGCTGAAAAGTCAAGGTTGTGGCGGTCATCAGAAACCACTCCAATAAAATTTTATGGTCAAAGTTCAACTCAAACAACTTATGGTACCCCATATAGGTATGTAGTGTTAACCTTGAGTTTAAACAGGAAAACAATATACTGAATGAAAATTCAGAACTTTTTTAAATGTTTTTATTTTTGCAATGCATTAAGTTTGCTAAAATGAAACCTCACAATTAAAAATTTTATAGCATTACTGTAGTTTCATTTATATTCGTTGGTACCAAGTTTTTGGGATTGAGGAAAACTTACATTTTCGTGGATAGTTGATTTCGAGGAGGTTTGGCCAAAGTCTACATACAAGCATACACATTCTGTATGTGCCTGTCCCAAGTCAGGAGCCTGTAATTCAGTGGTTGTCATTTGTTTCTGAGTATCATATTTGTTTTTCGTTCATTATTTGGTACAAAGATTAGACCGTTAATTTTCTTGTTAGAATTGTTTTACATTTATCATTTCGGGGCCTTTTATAGCTGACTGTGCGGTATGGATTTTGCTTATTGTTGAAGCCCATACATTTACCTATAGTTGTTAATTTCTGTGTCATTTGGTCTCTTGTGGAGAATTGTCTTGTTGGCAATTATACCACATCTTCTAATTTTTATATATAGATAATTTGTAATTCGCTGATCCTTTAAATTCCTGGTTAACCTATACCGACAAAATCCTAGAAAATTGATATCCAACAAATAATAATGAATCCACAATATGTGTATGCAGCATTTACTCTTAATTGCAATAACTAAACTTGCTTTTGTGTCAATTGTCCCAACAATAGCAGTAATAAATGTACCCATTGATTTACGAAGTTACATTAGTTGTATTTACAGTTTCTGCCTGAGGACATTTTGTATGTTTTAGCAATTGAGTACCATGATACTGTCAGAAATACATTTTTTGTTAAGATGGTAAAATTGGTATTCCTCAATGCTATATTTGTCATCTCTTTAAATTTCCTCCTTCATATGATGCTATTTCAAATTTATGTGAGGAGCATTGATATATGCATACATAGACGACTTTCCAGTTGGAGCACTGCCAGCTTTCTGGTCTGACAGTAATTATACTGTGAAATTCAAAATTAGGGCATTTTCAAAATTGATTCTGTTAGTGGGAGGGGGGCATAGGAAAGCATTTCTTAACAAATATTTTTGGTGGTGATTTTTTAGGAACGATAGCCAGTTATAGAAAATAATCAATTAAAGTTTTATGCATGGTGGGATAAAATAAAAAGTGCCTTCAAACCCCTTATTTCATTGATATCATTTTTTTTCCACAGCAGTGGTAGAAGACCTGGATTGATGCCAGATCCAACTCCATCAAAGATACCAAGACTTGGTAATGTTAACTACAGCTGGATGAAACCAAAGTTAACAGCCCCGTCAGATACCTGTCAACAACAACCAAACTTTCATGGGTATGATATTAATAATCTTACCGCAATAGTAATCAAACTTCCCATCACCACTGTCTAGGAAGCACACTTTTATCATTTCTATCAATAGGTGAGTTTTAAGTTCACTTTATAAAAGAAATCTACATGAATTTGGTTTGAATGGAATGTTGTCCCTCAAAAGTTGACATCAGGTTAAGTAAACACAATCAGACAATTCAAACCAGTTAATTAATGTTGATCATGATCAAAGATATGCAGACGATATTTAAAGCAGACAACATATAGAATTTTCACGAATGAAAAATAATTTTATACTCTAATGTAGTTAATAAAGAACTGCTGAAACAACCCCTCCCAAATTTCGTTGTAGAGTTCCCTTAAAAAATGAAAACAATATGTTATATATTTCATGCGTCTAAAGCGCTTTTCTGGATTTACCTTCATCAGGAACTCTCAAAGCTGAATATATAAAAGCCAAGGATGTATAAGAACCGAAACAGTTGAAGAGCTATATGATAAAAAAAGACCTTAAAAAAGCCAAATACATCTATAAAGGTCAACTTTGCCTGAGGGAGTTGAAACCTTAGTTTCTAATCTATTTAATTTAAAAATTTATATTTTCAATTTTATAAAGTTTGTTTTAAATCAGGTGAGCTGATGATACCTACGATATCCTGAAGTGGATACCGTTGGTATGTAAGGTTGTAAAATAAAAATAATTGGATATCGCTTAATTGACAGACAAGTTACAACACAAATAGTTTAATTCTTTGATGAAGACTGTATTCCCATAAACCAATCTCAAGTTGTTTTTTTATGAATTAGCTACACAGCTTAACCCATGGTCAATCAGCATAAATGACGACATTGAACAATCATTCTTACTGTGACATAGGAAATGTACGGAAAGGGCACAAATTTGAAAGTCATCTATGAGATATATGGAAAGAAATAAAAACTTAAAACTTTTAAATAAAAACTGTTGTACTAAAACAGGAAAAAAGGATAACGCTTTCCGTCAAGGGCACAAACCAGACACATTATGAAAGCTTAACATTAGTACTATGGACATGTTCAGCTGAAATTTAGGACCCAGACTAAAAGTTTATCCTAGTTTTTTCCCAGAGTAATGGGATGAATAATGTTATGATAAGTTGATTTTGTATTTTTCAGGTTCTCTAACCTTGGTAATACTTGTTATATGAATGCTATACTCCAATCCCTTGTCAATCTTGATACCTTCACCACAGATCTACTGTATGGAAACAAAAGAATTCTTAGGACGTTGGAATCTTCTTCATTGTATAAGTAAGTTTGAAAATGTTCAGTCCTCAAATTTAATTGAACATATTTGAGCACTTGGAGATAGCTGTCCAAACAAAAATTTGCTTTTTTTTTCTACAAAAATAGGAATTTGTGTATATCATGTATATAGGAAAATGGTTGCATCAAAAGTGAAAATCAAGAAAACAATTCAAACTGAAGAAAATGGAAAGATAACAAATAGAAACAATGTTGTTTTAAACAGTAATTATACCCCCTCTTTAAAAAAGTGGGGGTATACTGTTTTACCTCTGTCTGTCCGTCCGTCCATCCCATGAATATTTTTCGTCGCATTTTTCTCAGGTACTACATTACAAGAATTTCTGAAATTTAGTTTCAAGGTTTATATGAGTGAGCTATACTGTGTGATGCATTTTCAGATTCATCACTCAACAACTTCCTGTTTACCGAACATTTACATATTTTTACACTATTAAAATTATCCATATTTGGGGGGGGGGATATCATCAGTGAGCAGTAGCTGGCAGTTTCACTTGTTTCATCAAAATTTCAATGAAAGGTTAAAATCACATTTCTCATTTCATAGGCTATCTCCCATTCCAGGAAAACCCAAACACTTAAATATAAAAAGTAAGGAGATGTGGTATGTTTGCCAATGAGACAACTATCCACCTGAGATAAAATGAAGTGGTAGTACTTAAGCAATCAAAGGCCACCATATCATGCATATGGCCTTGTACAATGAGAAAAACCCATACCATATTCTAGTATGTTACAATAGCATTTTTCTGAAATATATGTTTGTAATTCAGATCTTATCTACTCCAAAGGGATCTTAAGAGACATGTTTATTTTGCCTATTAAAATGTAATTCTATTTTACAGGTGTATGGTCCTCGTCTTCAATTCTAGATTGAAGAATGTTACTGATATCAATAAAAGAGAATATCTTAGGAATTTGAAACAGGCCATTTCATCATCAGCTAAAAGGTTTTCTGGATATCAACAACATGTAAGTTGTACAAAAGATCAAATACTGTAAATTCAGAAATTATTGCGTTCATATATTATTGCGAGTTTTCAAGAATGGACAAAAATGTGAGTTTTATTATTGCTATTTCGAAAAAAAGTGCATACAGGTTATATTTCAGTTATCACAACCTGCAGAATGCGAGTTCTTATTATTGCGATACTCATCCAGTCGCATTATTGCATTAATAAAAACCTCGCAATAATTTCTGAATTTACAGTAATTGATTGCTGGTGTTAAAAGCCACTTTCTGCACTATTGGATATATTGATGCGGTCAATTTTTATTGGTGGAGGAAGTTAGAGTGCCGGGAGTGAATTACCGACCTTTGGCAGGAAAACTGACAATCCGAGTCAATTAAGATTGGAGTCAAACGCACCGTGGTTTGAATTACAAACCTCAGTGTTGATAGACTAGTCACTAGTGAAATAAATAAAAAAAATTAAAAATAACTTAAAAAATCATTTAGAAGTATATTACGTCAGGTGAGTTTTGTCATTTCTACTTGCCAACTAGGGGGCAGTCAGAAATACTGGACCCAAAAATAATACCACTTCCTCTTGACACTGGGCTCTAGATGGAGCTACCATTACAGGATACTGAACATTTGTTAAGAATTATGGGAAAAACCTTAGTACTTCAAAACACCAAAAAGCTGAAAGCTGTATTATATAGTAAATATTATCATATGGCTTTTTCAATATCACATCCGTATCAACCTGAGACACCAATATCATCCCAAGAGCTCTGCTTGAGGGATTATATTGGTTGAGGGTTGATACGGTGTGTGATATTGAAAAAGGTGTATCATATACACTTTATTATATACATTTGAACCTCACGTAGATGTTTTTTCACGTGACGTAATACAAATTATCTGTTTGACAAATCCTTTGCAACTGGGACTGATATTGATAACGTGACTTCATACAGATTAGGGGTGTGATAAAGCCTTTACAACCGTGACTGAAATCGATATAGTAGACTCCGGCAAATCGGATACCCAAAATGTCAGCTAAAAATATCCGATTACCCGATATATTCAATTAGACGATGAATGTATATTCATTGAATATTCTGCAATAATGAGTAGATATAATCCTGAGATGTTACTAACCCTGACAATTGCTAAATATGTGAAAGGGCTGGAGGATTGATGGAGTGATTTTTATCAGTTACATCACCACGATTTTTGTGTAAAAAATTATCAGCTGATTATGTAATGATTAAATTTGTTTGCAGTTTTTAAATCCTTTATTTATTAGAATAAATCAAATGTCCTGAAATATTTATGTGAATTATTATCTACCATCCATAGTTTGTCTTTATTTGTTTTGTAAGCAAATTAATATCCATTATTTACATTATCACACAGGTAAACTAATTTGGCTATAAATAGATCTAAGCATGTCTGTGTAGAATCTCCAAACTAAAATCGTATTTGTTATAATTTTATTTCTTAAAATAATCAAATTTAAATTTATGAAAATAATCATGATTGATAAAATATTATTGCATAAAGTTTACGTTTTCTGAAGACTATTTATATTTAGGTCATAGTTCTAGAGGCTTCTTTGCCAATTTGTAAACATCCAAAATGGCGTCCATGACATGTGGTTACTTTTGTACATGTGAAAAAAATATATCTGACAAAAGTCAGATTTCTCTTGTCAAAAGGGATTTATATTTATATTGCAATAAATTATTCAGAAGGAGGTACATTCAGTTTAGATTATATTTCTGATTCTGTGAACATTTAGAGTTTAATCAAAATTCTTCAAACAGCAACGTCAACTTGTCAACTGAGTCTTGCATATTTTATAAATGAATTAAAACCATTTGAAGTAAAAGGGCATCTAATTCACATGACAAAGGAAGACAATGATTAAAGACAACAATTTATTAATAAATAGTTCCTTTTATTTAGTAAAAACAAAATCTTCTTGTCTGCAAGATTGTAAATTCGTAACTTCCGGGTCCATTTCCTGTCAGAAATATATTGAAAATATCCGATTGCATGGTTTTGAACAAAATACCTGAATATTCTTGCCGATTTGCTGATATATTCTTATATCCGATATTCGATTACACGATAAAATTAACATTAAACATATAGGGAAGGGTTTGGTGTTTTGAAATAATATTACAATAGCCGATATATTCGTTTAGCCGATATCCGATTAGGTGGAGTCTACTGTATCATCATGGATGGTGGTTGCAGCACTATTGCTTTTGATCGTATTACACATACAATTTATCTGTATTTACTAAGTATATAATAAAACAGTGTATTAAAAGGTATTTGTTTGCTCTTCTGTAAAGACATTTACACAAAACAGTGATGAAAATATACCCTCTCCACCTGACCGCTTGTTGCAATCTTAAAACATTTTAGTTAAACAGTTAAGACCTTCCTGGGTTTAGCCTGGTCATTATTAATGAAAACAGCTTACTGTTCTTTTTTGCCAAAGTACACTTCTTAAATTAAAATGTATATCTATGCGTGTTTGCATAATTTCATGCAATTAATTATGCCTAACAAGTGCTTTACATTGTTGTCATTTAATGAATATTTTTAATAGTTAATTATTGCTTTAAAAGAATGGTTTCGTCTATTTTTGGGTAAATTGTGAAAAATTATGACGGATTTTAAAACATTATACAAGTTATAGATTGTTTAGGAAATTTTTATGATTATGTGTTTACAATCTTGCAAGACTTTCTTCTAGCTATTCTAGAAAAAAATTTTTACTGCTGGGTTGAACACCACATGATGTTAAAAAAACAGTGTTATAAACCCCCCACCTAATAACCTACATTTTTTTTTAGGGATTAGCCCCTCTATAGATCTTCTTTTTTTTCATTGTGAAAAGTTTCACAGATTTCTACTATTATTCCTGTATGATACATTGGACTCTGGTTTAAATTCCAGGATGCTCATGAATTTCTTGGTCAGTTGTTAGATCAGTTAAAAGAGGAAGTGACCAAGATATCCAAGTCAACACCAAGTCCACATCGAGATAATGAGGAAACAGAAAGGACACCTCATGAATGTATTAATCCTACTGTACAGAACTTTGAATTTGAAGTACTACATGGCATCAAATGTGAAAAGTATATATACATAAAAATGACGTACTGTGGATTCCTTTATTTCATGGTTATTTATTATTGCGGATTGAGGAAAATCTGTATTTTCATGGATACTGTAAATTCAGAAATTATCGGGTGCATTTGTTATTTCGATTTTTGAAGGATGGACAAAAATGAAGGATTAATTATTGCCATTTCTGCATACAGATATATATTAGATATCAAAATGAGAGTTTTTATTGTTGCGATACTATCTCAGTTGCATTATTCGCAATTATGAAAACCTCGCTATAATTTCTGAGCTTACAATACTTCATTTCATGGTTGTTGCTAATTCTAGATCTGCATACATGCCACTTTAATTTGGGGTTCAACTATGCTCACAAAATCCACAAAAATAAGTACCACATGATTGGAAACTCATCCACAGTATATAGATATATATATAGATGCTGTTTTATTTTGATCAGATTTATGAATTTAGCTATAGTTGTCATTCTATTCTGATTAATAATTAAAGTTTTCCTTTTAATCCTACTACTGATTTAAGAATATATGGTTGCAGTCTAGTCTTATAACCTTTCATTTATCAAGAATAGCATATGTGTCTAATAATGGTAATCTGTTTTCATATGATATGAAAGTTTGGAACAACACCATGACTGTGGTTTAATATGCTTTAGCAAATGGGGAAAAAGATCTATATAAAAATTTGACCTTTATATTTAAATATTTCAGCTGTGGAGAGGAAGTGACTAAGGAAGAACAGTTTAATGATCTCTCTGTAGACATGCCTAGAACTAGGTAGGTATTATCAGAATCTACAACATCATCATGATCATGAACATGTATATATAGATTCTACCACTGCATCGAGTGTGATACGATATTTATCCACTCGAGACGCGTTTTAAATATTTAAAATTTAACTGTCGAGAGTGGATAAATATCGTATTACACGAGATTTGGTGGTGGAATTTGTTTCTCTAATGATTTTCAAACATATACGCAGGCAAATTTATTCATTCTTTTCGATTGATCTGCAAAAAGATGTGCTCTTTTTATGTGACGTCATCAGGCATGGTCGCCTTTTTTCATGCCATCACAATAGGAAATTCAGAGGAAAGCAAGAAAATTCGACGTCATAATCGGATTTTAACCAATGAAGAACTGAGATCAAACGAACCACACATTGATTAAATTTTTTTTATACAATGGGTGCAGAAAGGTATAAATTGACGAAGAATTAGAGAAAAATATTTACATTCTTCATTGAACTTTATTAATTAATATCTTAATGATAATGTTAGGTTCCATATAGGGTTTGGCATAATTTTAGTCCATAAACCATCATAATGGATGTTTGATGTAGATACACAAACTGACAAATGCTTTATAACAATAAGAAGCAAACAGGGATAGATACACTGTGCAAAGAAGAATATTTTGGGACTTAAAAAAGTACAATCAAAATGCAAGGAATAGACAATATCTATTTAAGAATATGACCATTTCAATCAGGATTATACAAATTGCTGTCTCATGTGTACACCCATTCCATGACCAGGTGTAATAGCTATAAATTTAAAGGCAGAGGCTTCAATAGAACAGCCAAACAATCTACAATGGTAACTTAGCCTGAGGTAGCTTTAACTTTAATTTTAGTATACCGTCTTTTGGTATGCATAGTGCGCATTTGTGTATAGTGCGCACCCCCTTTATGGTCCAAGAAACTTGAGAAAAAAAAGTTTCCGCTTTGTATAATACACATAGACCTTTTCGGAAATGTCACAGCTCCAAAATCGGTAAAATGTTGCTTGAGCGTGATTTTTTTTCGGCAAGGAAATAATGAGAAGTCATGATTAATATCATGGAAAGAATTTATTGTAGCTGAATAAAGAATTTTAATAGTTATCTTCTTTTTATAACCCACAAGTTAATGTTTGTCGTTTGTTGGCAAACAGGAAGTCTAAACTGGAAGTTTTTTAAATGGTCACCGATGTTGGTGAATTCCATACGGAATACGTAACTAATACGAAATTGTATTATCTTTTATGTATTATTTAATTTTATGTTATGAATTAGTGCTGAAATAAACTGTTAAAATCTCATAATTTAATTTTTTGTTTGTTGATTCTAGCTGTTAATCCGGATTATCACACCTCAATCAATGGGTCTAATTGATGTCAAAACAATCCATGCATGACAGGTTCACCTTGTTCCTAATTAAATTCGTTCAGGTTACAATTATGGGATAATCATGTTTTCAATCATAATTTCTTGAACGGTTTAAACAGTTGTTACTATTTAAAAGTTACAAAGTAGAAAACGCATTTATAAAAAAAAAACTTCTCATAGACTAAATCATCACTTTACAATATTAAGTCACATGACTGGCGATCACCTGATACATTAAAAAAAATGGTGGTTTATCTTTTCAAAATGAGCGTGGTTTATTCAATTTTCATACACTTATCTTCTACTCTCCATGATGAACACATACAAAACAGTAAGTTATGACCACAAGAAACACAGAGCCTAAATTAACCGACAACAAAAGCTTCATGGTGTCTTTATTAAGACATGGCAAACTTCCGGATTGCAAACAGATGGACAAATTTACACGATAAACGAACGTAACTTCAGAGATATAAAATGTATTTTATTTGAATAAAACATGACATATCAAGTACAATAAGATACATATTACAAATATAACTTGTAAAACATAATAAAAGTTGAGGTATTGGCAAAAAATTCCGTACTCTTCACTGATCTTCACTTCACCTGTTTTTTTATTTGTCGGAGTTCGGACCTGAAAAAAAGCTAAGAAAATGTTTGTAGGCATGTATAATGCGCATCCCTCTTACAAGAAACATGACCCAGGGTATAAATGTGCGCACTATACATACCAAAAGACGGTAATGTCATTAATATTGTATGTTGTTCTTAAATATTTTATTTTACTTTCCAGAGATTCAACCAATCCTAGATCTTTACAGGATGCCCTAGAATTGTCTTTACGGAAAGAAAATATAGAATATACTTGTGAAAAATGTAATTGTAACAAAGCTGCTGTCTCTCATAAATTTACCAAATTACCAAGGTGAGGGGTTAATTTCGCTCATTTCACGATTGAGATAAAATTTACCTCATGCTAATTTGATCTTTTAGACAGATCATCATAAGACCCTAAAAATGTGAAAATAAAACCTGACAAACAGGTTTGACTATCATATCTCCAACTTTAAATTTTGTGAAAATAGAGCAAAACCCATATTGTATAGTCAGCTCTAAGAGACCCAGACATCACAAAATAGGAAACAATTCAAATGAAAATACACCAATCTCAAGTTGTTTTTTATGAATGAGTTACACTTCTTGACCCAAGGTCAGATGGCATAAACAAATGCCATCTCACAATCGGTTACTGTGACGTAATAAAAAAAAGCATTGTGACACAGGAAATGTGTGGGAAAGTGCACAAATTTAAAAGTCATCTATACCAATGACCTGACTTATGCTAAAACAATATACAAAAAGTTAATATGACACACAGCACCCAAGAACAAATAGTGTTTATAAAGATAAGGAGATGAGGTATGATTGCCAATGAGATAACTATCCACCAAAGTTAAAATAAAGTGGATGTAAGCAATTATAGGCATTTGTTTATCATTTGTGAAATACTCAATTAGATGCATTCTTGATGTTGTCATTGCTGTTGATTTTTCAAATGCATAAAAATTGGTTGTTCACATGATTAGTCAAACAAAAAGCAAAATCTAAAAATTTAAAAAAAGGAGTGACTCATCAATCATAGTTTTATTTTTCAGAGTTTTAGTTTTACATCTAAAGCGATACAGTTATAATATGATGATGTCTCGCCAAGCGAAGGCAGGACAGAATATAACCATTCCACGATATCTCACCCTACAATCTCATTGTGAAGAGGAGACACGCCCACCTTACCCAACCATCCCTCCACCAGAACCTAAAAGGTAAAAGGTGTTATCAGTATTACGAGTTAAGTGTCGTTTCACATATACCAAAACAAGACAACAAATGCAAGGCTAAAGTTTCCTCCTTCAGAACCAAATATAAAATGTTGTCAATATAAAAAATTTGTGCCATTTTACACATAACCAAATAGGAGAAAAAATGGCAAGCTTACCTATCCATCCCTCCTCCATAACTTAGAAGGTAAAATGTGCTACAAGTAAAAAAAAGAGTGCCAATTTACACATTATCAAACGAGAGAAAAAAATACAAAGCTATCCAACCCAGTGATTTTTCTGTCTTTATTTAAGAGCTGAATATCTGCCCCGTTCCTAATTAGAAAAAACCTGAAATTTTCCCATATTAAACCATTTCAATCAAGTTGTAGCGGAGAGGTGATTGATAATTTTATCTTTTGTAGTATTTGATTCAAAATATAGGTTATCGTACTGTTCCTGAAGAAAACACATGGAATATAGACAGATAACAGTCATAAGGATGTCCATACAAAAACCGTTTTAAAAAGCCAAATTTGAAAATCTTATAAAATCCTTGTTATCTTTTTATAGTTTTTGAAATGAAAAAGGGTCCAATGTTAAATGTATGAAAAATCTAGAATCATTTCCCGGCAAATTTTCAATGGCTTATATCTCAAAAACAATCACAGGGACCCTTCATTTTTTTCTGCTTTTTTAGTTCCTTCATTCATATACTATCAATTTATAGCAGTCTTTTAAATAGCTTGTTATCTAGAAACAGAGTAGCGAACATCCTTAACCTTGCATTTCTATATATAAGTAAAAAAAGGTAAATTAAGTGATTAATTAATGTCCACACCATCATAATGGCTCAAATAACAGCTCATTTTACCAACAATCCAGGATTTCTATTGATTCGTTTATTTCATTTTAATTTTTTTTTCAGTCTTACTGTGCCAGACAGTCCACTCAGGGAAAAGAATGAAAACACACCTAGAAGAAAACTGGACGTAATGAACCCTTCAGCAAACCCTTCAAAGTATGTATTGAACAAAATCAACAAAACATTCAAGGTGTATGGTAAACAAATATTTTTCCAATTTGAATCACAAGAAAAATTATTTTGTGAGGAAAATCACTAACGTAATCGGGCTTGTATAGTTCGCACTGGTACATAGTACGCGCCCTCTTCTCTGCACGAAATTTCAGGTAAAAAAACTTTTTGTAACTGTTAGAAAAGGTCTAATGAAACTCCGGTAATTTCAAATCGTGCATGGTCATTTGCAGTATTTTCTTGGAAAAACCTGTTTTCCATCATCAAACAGAAGCTGAAACTGCTTATAAATGATTCTAGAACACTTCACGATTGTTAAATTAAGTTAAAATCACACAAAAAACAATTTAGAAACTTGTGTATATTTAAACCGGAAGTTTGAATAGCATGTGTAAAAGAAGAAAAAAAACGGTGAGAGTCGAAATCTGTACATCATAGATATCACTATAATACGACTTTGAAAGTAAAACAGTTACATCTTTATGTAAAACAGTGTTTAATATATCTATTACATTAATGTTTGAAGGGTTTTAAGCTAATATACAACATATTTGTCAGTATGAAACACGGAAACGGAACGAATAATAACCGATTACGTTTTGTAGTTTACACATCGTAAGCTGGTTTACGGTTGTCTTTTTTACTTTTTTTGTATCGTTTCATTCAAGCAGATACCAGTTTATTTAAATCAATGAAGTGTTTAACTTTTAAATTTATCAGTTTTAATTTGATATTGAATAAAAATAACTTATTAATATGGATTGGGTAAAATTATTAGTTTGAAAAATGATAAGAGCGCCCTCTACAATATCAATAACAAACATGGCGGAAGGTAAACTAACCACCTCACGATTTTTTTCCTCTTATTTCTTGCTTATTGTCTAATTTCTTTACATTATTGGTTGGAAAATAATTGAATAAACTATGTCTTGATATTATTCGTTCGATACCAATTTTCGTGGCTTTTATTGATACAGGGTTACCACAAATTGAAATTCCAACAAATTTCTACAGGAATGCATGCAGACTTTGGCAAAACCATGAAATCAATTATCAACAAATATGCATGTTTTCCTCAATCCAAGAAAATTGGTACCCACGGAAATAAATGAATACACAGTATTCAATTATAATCATGCTATAACTCTTTATAACAGTTTCAGATTTAAAAAGAGTAGAGCATTACCAGATTTTAATAATGATGACGACCCCAGCAAAGCTTCTACACAACAAACCAGCACACCATATAAAAAACTCAAAGAGGAACCAGAAATTGTAAGTAATTTGAACAAATGATAAGAAAAAAAAGTTTATATTTAAGAAACTTACATTCATTAGCTGGCCTTATCAACGAAAATATTATATTAATTTTGTGTTTTCAAAGCACTTTTCTGGATTTATTGGGAACTCTCAAACCCAAACATGATGAGCTTTATGACCAAAAGGAACCTAAAAAGTAAAGCTCAAATTATCAAAGTCAACTTTGCCTGATTGAGTTGAAACCTCAGTTTCTTAATAATTTTTTTAATTTAGCAACAGAAAATTTTAAATAAAGTATGTTATAAATTATTTCAATACAAAAAACTGACAATTGAGCTGATGGTACCCTGGACTAACAGTCCAATGGCAACGAAAATTGAGAGCAATTCAATTGAAAGAAGGAAAGTTTTATTTTTGGACTTGCATTGTGGATCATTTATGTTAGAATATCCATTTTATGTGTGCAAAAATACACATAGAATGTGGGGGATTTTTGAAGTCAGATACATGTACAACACACCCTTCAAAAGCTTTTTTTTTGGGGGGTAAAAAATAAATTGTTTTAATGATAAATGATATTTTGGAAAAAATAAAAAAATATTTGGTCTATGCTAGGAAATGTGGTATATTTTAAAAGTGTCATTTATCATTTAGAAATTTGTATTTTTCAGATAACAGACAGAAAACTGACACTAGATGATGATTTTGATGACCCTGAACTAGCCAAAGCTTTAGAACTGAGTCTAAAAGAAGCTAATGATAGGAACCAGGTAAAATTTTACATTCTTAATGTAGAAGAGGAGGAATCAGGTTAACCATTTCCTTGCTCCTTCCCTTTACTTGCTCTTCAAAGTAGGAAAGGGGTCAATACTGTGGATTCACTGTTATTTGTGAGATAATAATTTTATTTTTGGATTTTGTGACGCATATGATATAAAAAATGTTAAACCATTGTGGTGACGTCAGCCTATTCATTTACCGTGGATTCTTTTTCTAGAATCAACGCTTCATAAATCTGCAACTGAAATGGACTCACCAAATTATATTCAATTGTTTCCTTTGTGTGCCTAATTTCATTAAGTTTGAATTGGCTAATTTACTGATTTCTGTTCACTAATGGAATTAATTTAAAAACTTACCTTTAATTTTTGTAATTTTTATATGCCTTCACTGGGAATTGAACCCTTCCTTGAAATCTGTTATGTGTGACTGGCATCAACACATCGACGAAACCTCTCGGCTACCAATGGGTTACACTATAGATGTCTATTTTATATATTTAAATGAACATCTGATATACATCGGTTCATCGGACACACAGGGTTTGTACCTTTATATAGACACAATAGGCAGTCGTATAGTATGAGTTGGTAGCCGCGAGGTTAGCATGGTTAAAATCAATGAGTTAAAGATAGGGATTTGTCGGTTTAGGTTCGAATCCCTGTATTCTCTCTGTTGTTCCAATTCTTAAGTTATCCTGGTTTTTTTTCTAATTTTGCATGTTACAGTGGATATTTTTGTAATAATAGCGAGTTTTACCGTTTTTTGTAATTATTATTGGCTATTTCACATGTTTGAAAAAAAAAATGATTACATTCTATTTGTCAATTTTTGTTTAATAAATATAGTATGATTTCATCTGTTTTACTACATAATTTTACAAAGGTTTGTTCGCAAATTCCTATGCGAGAAAATCGTGATGTGCCTAGAGTGCTAGAAAAATTTCGATAACATACTTATTATATATACTTTATATATGCTTTTTGGTCGGGTTGTTGTCTCTTTCATACGTTCCCCATTTCCATATTCAATTTTATTAGAAATAATTTCGAATATTTTGTATAAACAGATAATATTCATATGCCTGGTAATTTAAAGATCTTTAAAGGTAGAAGTGTTATATTTGTATTTTGTTAACCAATTAATTGTGATCTGAGATTTATCAATGCATCGTTGGACACGATAACATGGTTAGTTAAACTCACTTACAATACCTTCTAATTAAGAAAAGGCTTTAATTTTGAAAAGAAATTAACACAATAGTTTAAGTTATAGATACAATGGATAAGCGTAGATTCATGAAAAACAAACCATTCGCCCTCCGGGCTCATGGTTTCTTTTTCAAGAATCCACGCTTATCCATTGTATCTATATAACTTCTATAGTCTTGTATGCAGAATTTTTCCAACCATGAAATCAACTATCCAGGAATATAATTTTTCCTGAATCCTTGTAAATTGGTACCCATGAAAATAAATGAATTTGTTATCTAAAACTTTCAGTCATCAAGACCTAGCTAATTTAAATGAAAAGGGAAGGTTGATCAACAAACCTATGCACACCTTGAAAAACAGATGACAATGTGTAGCAAGAAAGCTGATTTGACTTAATTGAAAAGGAAATAATTTTTTTTATGAAACTTATTGTAATTTGAAAACTTTGATGTCATAATCATAAAGCAAGTTATATACATTGTATCAGTTGCTATTTAAAAAGATGCAAGTGTTAAAATATGTTTTCAAAGGATGACAACAGCACAGCAATCCTCCAGTCTGTTATTCTACTTACATATTTGTTATAATAAAAATGTTAAAACTTTATTTGTCAAATGTTTGTGAATGCAAAGATTTTTTGAATAATCATAGGGGGCATTATGGTTTCTTGTCTTTCCGTAAATCCTTCCCTTATCAGGTGGACAATTTAGTTTATATTATTACCATGATATTCTATTGAAGATAATATCTGTTCCGTATCTTTAGGTCTTTCTTGGTAAAAAACAGTTATATACCAAAAGGACCTCCTGGATAAAAAAAACTTATATCATTACTTTATATTAGGGATGTCAACTCTGTGAAGATTTACTAATCAAGTACTCGTTTGATTTACCGAGCGATACTCGAGTACTCGCTCGGAAAAACATCTACAAAATGGAAACACAAAATTATACACATTTTACGTATTGTGGGACGTTGTCTTATGGACGTAAACCCTCAGTTTTATTACCCAGGACTAGATAATAGTCCTAGGACATTTACTAGTATACCATATACTAATTATGTAAGCTGGCAATGATCTAATCAATTAATTAATAAACATCTATAGAAAAAAAGATTACTCAAATAATAGTAATTGGGTATCCTAAAAAAAAAACATTTAATGATCAGCAAAGGGTGGTGATTAGAACTTACTGATGCCTTTAACCATTTTCTGAGGGTCGACACAGGGTGCAACAAAATTGTTCTTATTAAGTAATATTATCTTGTCAGCTTTTTCTGTGATGAGTCGATTCTCAGCTTGGTTACGTAATTAAAAGTCCTGCTGATGAAAATATTTGCTCTGACGGTACAGAGGTAGTTTAATGACTCAGACACGCTACGCTAAAAGTGTAAGTCTTGGAAAGGTGCTCTTGTTCATAGTCCACCTATGTTTGGAGGATTTTTAAATGACAATTAAACGCAAACATTTGAAACGTAATTTTGATTAATTATGATTAATATTAAATTTCCCGGGAGGTGCTCTTAATAAGAATATTATTTCTTTAAGAAGGCAACAACATTATTACAGGAAACCGATTAGTCGAGTATCATTTTGGTATTTAATACTCGGTACTACTGAGCGATACTCGAGTACTCGTTGACATCCCTACTTTATATGTAGAAATTTAAATGAGGATCTCTGTTTCATCTATAGGGCTTTCTTGATGAAGTAGATGGAATGGCAGAAGATGGAGATCTTAAAAAAGTATTGGAAATGAGCAGAAATGATCCAGAAAGCACCGTCACTGACCATGGTATGTCTATTAATCAAATATTATAGTTACTATAAACTCAATAGGGTAAAGATCATAGTATGACTGAAAGCATAGCCACTGACCATGGTATGTCTATTAATCAAATATTAAAGTTACTATAAACTCAATAGGGTAAAGATCATAGTATGACTAAAAGTACCGTCACTGACCATGGTATGTCTATTAATCAAAAATTAAAGTTACTATAAACTCAATAGGGTAAAGATCATAGTCTGACTAAAAGCACAGCCACTGACCATGGTATGTCTATTAATCAAATATTAAAGTTCAAGTAAAGGTCATAGTATTCACTGAAAGCTCAGCCAAGGATCATTGTATGTACATAAACCAAAAAGTAAAGTAACAATACACACACAGGATAATGTGTATGTCTGAAAGCATAGCCACTGACCATGGCTTATCTTTAAACCAAATATTAACTTACAATAAACACAAAAGGTAATGAAAATATAAAAATAAGAAGATGTGGTATGATTTACAATGATTTCCATGGATACAAGTAGTGGTTATTGTATGTTTATGCAAATTTAAACTAAATTTAATTTTAATTCCACTGTTGATATCAGATGTGGAATATACATTCATGAGACTGTAACCAATCACCAATCAAAACCCAGAAAATTAACCTAAAAAGTAGCAACATTCTTTCCTCCCTTTTTTGCCAAGATATCTTGATATAACACATTTTAAAACATTCAGTTATCATATTTCAGATTATGACAAACAATTGGGATCCATGACAGAAGAGGAACAAATAGAATTGGCTATGAAGAGAAGTATGATGGAATTTGAAATGATGCATGATTCCTATACGCCAGAGGATATACGAAAGGAATGTAGCTCTGAAATGATGCAAGATTCATATGAATCCCAAGACATCCGAAAGAAGTATAGGTCAGCAGTGGCTGAAGAACTTTTTAGGGACGATGATGTTAGAATGAATGGTGTAGAGGATAATAGCGTTACCTCAAAGTATTTTAGAACAGCACATAGAAATAATATAGAAGATACTAAAATGCCGGAAAGTAGTTCAGGGATAAAATTGGAGAACGGTTGCTCGCCTCTAAAGTCATGTGAAAATAAATCTACTTATGAATTAACAGAAAATTCTTATTTCCATTCGAATTCATCAGACGTGAAACTTTCTCAAGGCAAACAGATCTCACAAAACTTTAATTCAAATTTGTCAGATAGTACAATTGGTGAGGAAAAAATCCAATGTAATGGAGTAATGTTTGATGCCGATATAAAATCAGAGGATGAGGCCAGTAATGAAAATGAAGTCATGCTTATTTCTGATAACACAGACAGCGAGACTGATAAATGCTCAAAAATCAAGTCCAAAAATTGTACGCAATCAAACTCTAATTTAAATGTTTCCGATCAGTGCATGGAGATTAGTGATAGTGATTCTGACAAACAAAATACGAATAATTCAAACTCTCAGGATGAAAGTCGGTTGACCAACATGGAATCAAAACCAAAATTATCAAAGGATATAGAAAATATTTTAATGGTAGATGAAATGACGTCGTCAGACATAAGACCTTTGAAGAATGTTGATCGTCCACAGCTTGGGAAAGGTATATCACAGGAGGGCACAGATATTGTAGACCTGTTCTGTAAAGAAGAGGATGGTAAGATTTAAATGAAAACTTGTTATTATTATACGCTAGGGCTGTCCCAAAATAAAAACATGGGAGAGGGATCTACTCAAATTGTTAAATTGTGGGTGTTTGCATTTTCTTAGAAGTTCATCTTGTATTAACATTTATAACTCAAAGTTATCTTTGAACAATATTATATGTTTACACAATTGTATATCTTACAAACGGAAAAAACTAAAGATAATGAATGACAGACAAACCATGAAAATTAACACCCATAATGATAAGTACTTTTGTAGTAAATTAACAGACAAAGCAATCTAAAGAATGATTGAAGGTAGAACAGACAACATTTTTTTATTTTAGCTCACCTAGCCATAAAGCCACATGAGCTATATATGAGCTGTGTTGTAGACATCTACCTTATGCAAATGTTTATCAGTACACCTGTTAACATATTTCGGGTTGAAAAAATCTCTATGGAAAATCTATAACTGTTTGAAAATTGAGTTGTTATAAGAACTCTACAAAACAGACCAAAATTAATATTTCATTTTGTATTTGAATGTTCCAAAATCAATAGAAGTCTTATACATGTATGTACATGTATACATGCATTTGCATAAGGACGATTTCTATCTGACGCAGCTCATATCATGATATATATTGCCATCACTTGGAATCTCACGTCAAAAGATCTTGAGGTGAATGATCCTTAGGGTATCTAGAATAAAGTTTGTGGTCTTTTTATATTAGGTATATGGTGAGTCAACAAACATGATGGTCATTCTGGTCATTCTGGTCATGGCTAGGAATAGAACATAGGGGATAAAATGCACTTATTGTCTTAAATCTTGAAAAAACATAATAGATAGAGAAAATCTGATGGGGGCTAGATGCTCCAAATTTCAAGATTTACCAACATCCAATTTTCACTACATGTAAGTAGTCTTGTTGCAGTGTATCAATTTATTATTGCAGGCCATAATCTTGCCGGCGAAATGACGATTTAAGTCGCCAAAGAATTTTGAAAATCGCTAAATCTCGCCAGCCGACTGACTTCATGGTGAAGTCAAATCGCTATGAATCGGTAAAAGGGAGACAATTTGTGAATTACAAGTCTCCCAGGTAAAAAAAATGGCGACTGACAAGGAAAATCGAGATTTTCGAAACGACCCAGGACTAATACTGTCGACGATCAAATTAAATAAATACAACGGCGACTTTGAACATCCTCGGATATAACTTTCAAAACTATTCAATAGGAAAACTGACCGTCTGTTAAAGTTATCATTTTACGATGATTTTTATCTGAGGATGTTGCGTAATCACTCAGCTGTTTTGTTTTATTTTTATTTATTACGAGTCGATCAAATTGTACTATTCGGTAGGTTAAGGTTGGGAATTAACGGTAGATTTATTATATTCATTGAATAAAAATTGAAATATAAAAGGTAGAAAGACAGCTGATGGATAATGTGATTGCAAACGTACGACACTCGACCAGCTGTGATCAGCAGTGCATTTTTTTTTCACAACCATTTCGTTCATAGGGAAGATATCTTTAAAAAATGATAGAAATTAGCTCTTTATCGGTTAATTAATATGTGATTGACAGATATTTTCATTTATAGGCTTACAATCTTTAATGAGAATCTCAATTTACAACTACATGTAACATGATGTCCTGGACATTCACTTATGTTTTACAAAATAATGACAAGTGGTGATATACATGATATAAATTAAATTCCCAGTCATGTGAAATTCATCAGGTAAACTGGGAGTCATATTTTTCTGGACATTTAAAAATAAATTGAGGCAGATACACAATAATTTAATGCATCATAATATTACTAGGCTACTCCCTCATGTCACAAGCAACAAATTTTATTCAAACTTCAATTCAAGTTGACAGTACAAATGGTATCAATGAATAAATAACAACTATATTGTCTAAACCTTTTTATTAAGAACTTTCTATATATACATTTTGTACAATAACATGAAAAAACTGCAAGTATACGTATTTTTTATTGCATATAAAACAATTTCCTTAGTGATAAGCAACGGGAACACTATGCAACCGAAACAGTAATGGAATCTCACTTCTCCAAGAAATTGACCACTTCTCCCTTCTCTCTCATGGAAGGAGAAGTCACTTCTCCCTCTCCAAAATCCTAGATTAGGCCCTGTTATTGGCAAGAATACCAGGTGATGCCTTTGAATAAGTTTCATTAGCTAATATTTGAAATACTGTCATATTGAAACAATTTGAATTATAAGATGTAAATTTACGCATTCCAGATTTTCTAATGGAACAATGGGATAAAGAGAACTACAATCCTGATGGCAGCTTAATGAAAGAATTGGAGGAAATTTTACCTAGAATTGATAATGAGGTATAAAGCATATAATCATGATAATGGGGAAATAATGAATATGGTACAATAAGTATAATTTGATGCAAATAATATAAGTTAAATACCAGTCCTTTTTAAATCTGATTCATAAGTCTATTTCTCCCCTTGTGCTTCCCCAAAAATTTTAATTTATACATGGACAAGTAATTTTCTTACAACATGTACAAAACCTGAATTTTTCAAGTTTTTGGAAGTCAAAACATGCCTCAAACATTTTTTCTGGTTTGCTTACTATTTTTTGATTAGAGTTAAAAAAAAATTATCTCAAAGAACTAAACAAAGAAATCTACTGCACACAGATGTTAAGCTACTTACTGCACAAGACCTTAAAATAGTATTTTGGGATGAAAATAACCATTATTTAAAATACAAAGACAGATTTTCAGTGTTCCATGAAATTATATTTCTACGAATAGTTAATCCAAAAGGGGTGCAGGGGTCCAAAAACATTGTTCTGGGCTGGTTTTGGTGAACCCCATGTATTTTGAATGAATTTTGTTACTTTTATTCTTTGTAAAAAAGCCAACAGATTTCGTATAGTCTTTTGAAGTTACCTAATACTTTGTAAGATTTCTTTTGAATTCCAAACCACTACCCATGCCGTCCCTATCTGTCCCCAATTGAATAATGATGAATTTCATATGTTGTTTGAATTGTTCACATAGTTTCAGTCCAAACCGGTTGGTGAGGTTCTGTTTTGAGTTTTTATACGCCCGTTCACTTGACATATTATGGTATACCTCTAGATCTGTCTGTCCGTCGTCAATATGTCGGACAATAACTCAAGAACACTTTTACCAATTTTCATGTAACTTTGGTGAATTGTTTATAACTATTGACATAAGCTCCCTTTCGATTTTTATAAATCTTTGATTTAACGTTTCTTAGTTATAAATGGGATTTTATTCATAAAAATAGGTGGGATTTTCTAACTTTCAGAAAATAACTCAAAAGTGCTTTGAGCAGTTTTCATGAAACTTTGGTGACTGGTTTATATCTATCAAAATAAGCTCCCTTTAGTTTTTTTTATAAATTTCTGATATGACATAGAGGAGTTGTGGAACTTTATTCATTGAAAAAGCGACTGGCCTATCATGTGCTCATGGCACAGCTCTTTATTCTTGTTCCTGACATATATATTCCTTAAGTTACTGATCAATTTATGTGAATAATCTTATTCATGAAATAAATAAATAAAAAAAAAAACCTTGGAAAAGTTTCCCTCTTTCTAGTACAAGGGTAGAGCATTAGAGCTAATATCCTAATGTATATAGTTGAATTTGATTATTTGATAATTTCCAATCAAATCTAAATATAATGTATACAGATTTAACTCTGCCTTTTTATATTGTTTGCATATGCCAATCTAAATTACAATGCTTGAGCAAACATTTATACAAACAAAGCAAGCAAGCCAACCAAAGTCTTAATATACATGCATTAGGAAATTAGCTCTAAAACTTAAGTTCTGTTCAACCACACACAAAGAATCAATTGTAACTATTGTCAAGGTACCTAACATGGGCACACTGTAGTTGAAGTTTTATGCCCCCGTCGTTGTGTAAGGGGCATTAAGGTTTACCCTTTTCCGTCTGTATGTCTGTACGTCCCGAAATTGGTTTCCGTTCTCTAACTTTAGTTTCCCTTGACCAAATGTTATGAAACTTATACACAAAGCTTATTACCACAAAACACAGATCAAGTTCGAATTTGGGTGGCCCTTTATAAATCAAAAAATTGCTGGATTTTTCATTTCTGTTCTCCAATTTTAATTTGCCTCAACCAAATGTTATGAAACTTATACACAATGCTTATTACCATAAGACACAATCAAGTTTGAATTTGGGTGGCGTCACTTTTACAGTTCTATAGTTATGTCCCTTTATAACGTTTATGCAAGCGGGAGCAATATCTGTGTCCCATGGACACATTCTCCATTTATTAAGTAGTACCTTGGCCAATGGTGAAATGAGGGAAAACTAAAAATCTTCCAGTTGATGCAAGTATTTAAATGAATAATCCCCTTTTTTTTTTGCAGAAAGGAGAACTACCATATTCATATCGCCTAGTCAGTGTTGTTAATCATATTGGTAGCAGCTCTGTTGTTGGTAAGTGGCACATTTCTTTAGATTACTGTAAACCAACTTATTTTCACGATACTTTATTTTGCGTTTAGCCCTTTCTATCCCACTTCTCGGGAATTTAATTTCACGATTTCCAAATTTACTTGATGTAGTAAAATCCTTTACATATTTGCGCTATTTTGCTACTCGCCTACGTCGCTAAAATAAATCGCTCATGAAAATTTGTTGGTTTACAGGAACTAGTTTGTTTGGATTATTAAGATCCATTGTCCAAGTATCAGTTCATTTTTATACCCTTGCCATAGCAGAGGGGGAATTAAGGTTGACCCTTGTCTGTCCGTACTTGTGTCTCGAAGTTGGTTTCCGTTCTCTACCTTTAAATTGCCTCAACCAAATGTTATGCAACTTATACACAATGCTTATTACCACAAAACACAGATCAAGTTTGAATTTGGGTGGGGTCACTTTTACCGTTCTGGAGTTATGTCCCTTTATAATGTTATATGCAAGCGGGGGCATCATCTGTGTCCCATGGATGCATTCTCCATTTATTTTTTTTATTTTTTTTATTTCCAACAAAGCATATAATTCATGACATACATACAATATATTTGTAATAATACAATAATTCATACATGTAAGATATGAAATATCATAATTGTAAATACATTATAGTTGAAAATATTAGACATATTATGTAGAGCAGATCAAAAGAAAAAAATTAGAAAAAATAATAAGCAACAGATAGTAAGAGTGGAAATTAGGAAGAAAGAAAATAAAAGAAGAGGAATTATAAATTATCCAGTTCCTGAAATTTTTTTATGTTAAAAATTAATGCATCTTTTTAAAAGAAATTACAAGTCCAAATGGATTCCAATACAAGTAATCTTTGTTTTTTTCTAGCCCTGTTGTACTGTGAGACATGTTTTCAGCATGTTCAGTTTCTTGAGTTTTGTACTTCTTTTTTGCTGTAAACTTTTATCTGGAAAATGTTTTGCACATATATATGAAATTTTCAACATATTTTTATTAAGTGGGGGTAAAGTTAGTGAAAAATAACTCACCGAACATCTTTTTATATCAGTGATTTGTATGATTTAGGTCATTACGTCAGCGATGTGTATGATATTAAGAAGGCCAGTTGGTTTAGCTGTGATGATTCACATGTATCAAGAACAACAGAAACTGATGTCAGAACCAAACGTGAGAGAAGTGGATACATATTCTTCTATCTGAACAAGTAAGTTATTTTATAATCAAAATAATGATTGATAATATGTTATCAGGTGTTAAACAGCCTTTAAATTTTTCATGTTTTTGATGCAGTCCTGTTGCTGATTCTTTAATTTTCTGTGTTGTGTTTTGTGCACTGTTGTTGGTCTTTTTTCGTTTAAGCTGTGATATTTTTCGGTCTTTCTTTCTTTAACCTATGGTTTTTGAAAGCATCATTAGTATCTTCTTACTTTTTTGAAAATGACTCTCAAGTTCAAAAATAATTTATGAAAATAAAGAACAGTTTTGTAAACATGAAACAGGGAAGTCTGTAATTAAAAAACAACTTTAAGTAAAAATGACATACCTGCCAACGTTTTAAAATCTTCATTGGGGATTTTTAAGCGCAAGAGGACCTATTGCTCCTCTTTCATGTATATTGTCATACATGTTTTTTAATCCACCTGGCACTATATTGTTTAAATGAGTATATATATGCTTAAATTCACTTTCAACTCTGACATTTGAATGTCTGTTTTGAAGTGTTCAGTTTATGTAATAAAGAATTTCAAAATTCAAGTCAATGCCTCTTGTGGGGGATATCCCCCATAAATCGGTATAGTTGGCAGGTCTGAAATGATGTGGTAATGGTTCGTATTTTATTTTTCAGGGATATATTTGATGACTTGAAGGACCATTATGCTGTCCTTGCTAACAAGAAGAAATGATGTACTTTGTGATTAGTTTTCTTTTAGGGCTATTCCATTAAAATGTATGTGGGAGGGTAGGAAGGGAAGTTTGATTATTGAATGTGGGTCATGGGTCGTTTTTCAGTATGCATCTATTACCATTATACAAAATTATCTAAAAAATGGTTCTTGGTTGTAGGGATATTTTGAAAGTCCCTTCCTACCCTCCCACATACATTTTAATGGAATAGCCCTTAGACATATAAGATACAGAGAACAAATATGAACATTGAAAAATAGAGTTGACTAAATTAAGTGATGGTTAATTACAACGTGTACAAAGGTCAAGGAAATGCTATTCGAACAAATTAATTATGTCATCCCCCAACATGTGTTGGGAAAATAATGTTTTTGTCCTGTCTGTTACAAAATTGTGTCTGTGCAAAAACTATATAGCTATCTACAGTTTATAAAGGAATAGAATCAAGCACAACGGATTTTTTTACACTGTGTGTCATGTCTGGTTCATATATATATATTTCAATGTTATTGATTTTTTGGGTTTCCTGTAGTAGCACATGAACTTAAAATAATAACATATGAGGTGGTTTATTAATGTAAAAAATCCTTCAGTTTACATAAGAACCACACTTGACAGAATTATTTCAAACTTCATGTAGCTGTGCACCTCTTTACTTATGTTTGGAGTTTCCTGTAGCAATATGAGGACACCATTTCTTCAAATCTAAACATTTGTCAGCCTAGTATCTCCTACAGTTTTACGTAGGTTCTAAACTTTAACCTGCCACCTTTATTTTTAATCAGATTATATTTTTTTAGTTTTATACTTTAAAATGTATACTGTTCATTTTTCTTTTTTCAACACAACATATTCTACAGTTTGCATAAGAGAATTTAATTAAACAGGACAAAATTGCTTTAAATTTACTTTTTAAGAATGAACAATTATTGGATTACAATTTCAGTAAATGCTGCATACAAATGTTGCAAACAAAATTTAAAATGCAAGTTTTTATTTTTACAATACATGTTCCTTTTCAGTAGCAATTTTGCAATAATAAAGACATTGCAAATTCGAGAGTTTACATAACCACAAGAAATGCACGTGTTAGTCAATTGTTTTTTTTTTTAAGGTGGGGGGGGGGGGAATGAAGTGAACAAATATATGATAATCAATGGTCGGCTACTTATGTGAGGGTCTGGATAGGGTTTACAGAATATAAAATAATGAGCACTCAAAAAAAAAGGGGGGAGTAAAAATAAAGAAATAGAGAATAAAGTGCATGGAGAGCCAAAATATAATGAATAGAGAATGGGCCAAAAAAACAAGAAATTGACCCCAAAAATTTAAGAATACAGAAATGGAAGACACCCATCCAGACCCTCTTACATTTATTGTGTTTTGTTATTAAAATGTTATGTTTTATTTAGAATGAAATTAAGCATTCAAATTTTATATGACAAATATTGGTAAATTTTTAAGTCAAAGACTTGTGTAAATTTACAATTTATCATGTATAAATAAATGTACAATAGAAAATCAAAAAGTACTTTATTAACTTCATGAATTTTCAAGCAATTGTTGTTGATTTTAAAATAAATAAGTTTTTTTACTTAAAACTCTTTTAAGGTTTCTCACTTTAACTGGAAAAAGCCTGAAGTTTTATGTCTGTTGTTCTAGGCACAAAACTATAGGGCTTTTGAAATTCATGGAATCACAAAAATCCTGTGATAACTCTGAAATTTCATTCATTCATTCGGTGTGGTTGAAATTCCAGTTATTTCCCTTGTGTAATTATAAGTATAGACTAACTTGATACTGGCACTTTAAGTCAGAAATTCAGTGTTTAAATATGATTAAAATGAAATTTTGAAATTATAGGTCAGTATATTTCTCTATTCTACATGTACATGTAGAATTTACTATAGCATGGTATGTTTTTGGAGGTCAACTGAACTTCTAAATGTTAACTGTCTAAAATGTGTTTCATAGTCAATTATTTAGTTTCTATTCTATGCATTAAATTCATTTCTACGTAAAATTTGTTAAGTATATTTTTACCTATTTATGATTTGTTTTGATTATTGTTAATATAAATATTTAAAATGCATTCATGTATACATATGTTTTGATTATTGTTAATATAGAGATTTAAATGCATTTTATATGTTTCTCAGTGGTATTAAAACAAAATGTTTATATTGACAGATATTTCTAATGGGTTTACTTGTAGATATGCATGATTATTAAAGTTTTTTTTGTGTGTGGCCAGGATGAATAAAAGCAGCTGTGGGGTATACCACACTAAGACAGCAACCCAATGGTGAAAGTAACAAATAGGGCAGCATAGTCTTCAACAACAAATAGAAATGTGTCTTTTCAATATATCAAGTCTATACAAGTTGATTTACAAAACATACATATAAGTACATACAATAAAAACAAGTGCAGGAAAAGCAATTTCAACTCTTTAAATAGTGGTATTATAAGTATAAACAAAAAATTACAAATAAGTAACAAATATTACTGATAAAAGAATGCTCAAAATTACCCAAAACAAGCTCAAGGTACTAAACCAGCTGATGAAAAATCTAACAATCATCTAGTTTCTGTACTTCATGGAAGATAGTGTATGGAACGATTGTAAGGTGTACTTGTCTATCTGGCAGGGTTCATATGACCTTGACCTCATTTTCGAGGTTCATTGGTCAATGATAAGTTTTCTTAATTTTGTCAGTTTATCAGATACTATAAGCAATAGGTCATATTTTTGTGTATGGAATGATTGTAAGGTATACATGTCTGTCTGGCAGGGTTCATATGACCTTGACCTCATTTTCATGGTTCATTGGTCAATGTTAAAGTTGTGTGGTCAAGTCTGTATCTCAGATACTAGAAGCATTAGGTCAACTATATTTGATGTGTGGAATGGTTGTAAAGTGTACATGTTAGACTGGCAGGTTTCATCTTTACCTTGATTTCATGGTTCATTGGACAATGTTAAGATTTTGTGGTTTGGTCTGTTTTTCAGGTACTATTAGCGATTGGACCACTATATTTGGTGTATTGAATGATTGTAAGGTATACATGTCTGTCTGGCATGGTTCATCTGACCATGACCTCATTTTCATAGAACATTGTTAATGTTAAGTTTATGTGATACTTGTAGTAAAACCTTCATATTACAGACTTTCAACATAAATTTTACGATAAGTAAAACAGGTGAGACATTTCAGTGTGTGTAAAAATAACATACCCTAATAAATGATTGAGGCCAAATTTGGTTTAATATTGGCCCCGTATTTAATAAAAAGTCCTGGTGGCCATCTTGAACAGTAAATCGGCAACAAAGTAGCAACACTTCATGCACCTCACAAGGAACATTTATGCCATGTTTGGTTTCATTCCATTCAATGCTCCTCTAGAAGAAGCATTCCTATGTATTTCCCATAGGGTCTTATGTTAAACTAAGTCCCCTGCTGGCAGTTATCTTGGATGATGGTTCGGCTACAAAGTAACAACACTTGGTCAGCACCTCATTAGGAACATTCATGCCATGTTTGGTTTCATTCTATTCAGTGGTTCTCTAGAAGAAAACATTTGTATGTATTTCCCATAGGGTCCTATGTTAAACTTTCTCCCCTTGCTGGCAGCCATCTTGGATGACAAATCAGCTACAAAGTAACAACACTTGTTCAGCACCTTATAAGAAACATTCATACCATGTTTGGTTTCAATCCATTAAGCGGTTTTCTAAAAGAAGACTTTTGTTTGTATTTCACATAGGGTCCTTTGTTAAACTAAGTCCCTGCTGGCAGCCATCTTGGATGATTGATTGGTTACAAAGTAACAACACTTGGTCAGTACCTCATAAGGAACATTCATGCCATGTTTGGTTTCATTCCATTCAGTGGTTCTGTAAAAGAAGACATTTGTATGTATTGTTCATAGGGTCCTTTGTTAAACTAAGTTCCCTGCTGGCAGTTATCTTGGATGATTTATTGGCTACAAAGTAACAACATTTGGCCAGCACCTCATTAGGAACATTCATGCCATGTTTGGTTTCATTCCATTCAGTGGTTCTCTAAAAGAAAATATTTGTATGTATTTCTCGTAGGGTCCTATGTTAAACTAAGTCCCTGCTGGCAGCCATCTTGGATGATTGATCGCCTACAAAGTAACAACACTTGGTCAGCACCTCATAAGGAACATTCATGCCATGTTTTATTTCATTCCATTTAGTGGTTCTCTAAAAGAAGACATTTGTATGTAGGGTCCTATGTTAAAAGAAGTCCCCCGCTTGCCGCCATCTTGGATAATGGATCGCCGACAAAGTTACAACACTTGGTCAGCACCTTAAAAGGAACATTCATGCCATGTTTTATTTCATTCCGTTCAGTGGTTGACTAAAAGAAGACATTTGCATGTATTTCCCATAGGGTCCTATGTTAAACTAAGTCCCTCTCTGTTGGCCATCTTGGATGATGGAACGGCTTCAAAGTAACAACGCTTGGTCAGCACCTCATAAGGAACATTCATGCCATGTTTGGTTTCATTTCATTCAGTGGTTCTCTAAAAGAAGACATTTCTATGTATTGTCCATAGGGTCCTATGTTAAACGAATTCCCCGCTGGCGGCCATCTTGGATGATGGTTCGGCTACAAAGTAACAACACTTGGTCAGCACCTCATAAGGAACATTCATGCCATGTTTGGTTTCATTCCATGCAGTGGTTCTCTTAAAGAAGACATTTTTATGTATTGTCCATAGTGTCCTATGTTAAACGAAGTCCCCTGCTGGTGGCCATCTTGGATGATGGATCGGCTTCAAAATAACAACACTTGGTCAGCACCTCATAAGGAACATTCATGCCATGGTTGGTTTCATTCCATTCAGTGATTCTCTAAAAGAAGACATTTGTATGTATTGTCCATAAGGTCCTATGTTAAAAGAAGTCCCCTGCTGGCGGCCATCTGGATGATGGATCGGCTACAAAGTAACAACACTTGGTCAGTACCTCATAAGGAACATTCATGCCATGTTTGGTTTCATTCCATTCAGTGGTTATCTAGTAGAAGTTCAAAATGTAAAAATGTTAATGATGATGACGACGGACGCCAAGTGATGAGAAAAGCTCACTTGGCCCTTTGGGCCAGTTGAGCTAAAAAGACAGCAACCCAAAAACACAAACTACTAAATTTATATATCTGTAAGTGCTTAACCAACCACATAGTCTGTGAAGGGGTACAACAAACAGCAATTGAACAAACTATAAATCAGTTGCAAGGACTTGACTTATCACTGTCAGGTTCATCAGATAGGTATTAAGCAAAAAAAAACAAAGTAAACTAGAGGCTCTAAAGAGCCTGTGTTGCTCACATTGGTCTATGTGCATATTCAACAAAGGACATTCAAATATTGTAGACGAGAATGGAATTCATGACAAAAATCTGTTTTGTTGATCTTGTAATGCTAATCATTTAGTCTGTTTAGTTTCTCTTTATCTTCTTTAGTTTTTGCTCAAAACACAAAAGAGGGTAAAAAAATCTTCATTTAAGGGCAATCACTCCTATAAAGAGTGACAGTTAACATTTGACATGTTAGTAGATCTTGCCTTACTGATCATTTTTGTGATTTAAAGTATTTATTTAAAACACAAAAAAAAAAGTCAAAATCGTCATTAAAGGGCAATAACTCTAGGGAGAAATCATCGGACGATTTCCTCCATATTATTTTTTTTTTTTTTTTTTTTAACACATATAAACGTTTTATTCCTAAATATTTCCTGTATATAATTACCTGAGTTGTCCAGGTAACAGACTAAGGGTCCCTGTTTACAAAACAAAATGAGCCATCTATCCAGGGGTAATAGAAGGCCAAAAATGTAGTCCACTTTTTACCTTGGATTTACAATCAGTTTCAAAAATACATTCACATGATGTTAGAAGCATCTAACTCTATACCTTAACTTTAACATAGTAAGTAATTAATAAGATATCCATACAAAAGATGTGCATTGAACGCAACACACATAAGGCTAACACTTTTATATCATTTTTATATATATTTCTCTAATTCTTCGTCAATTTATCCCTTTCTGCACCCGTTGTATATAAAAAATTTAATCAACGTGTGGTTCGTTTGATCTCAGTTCTTCATTGGTTAAAATCCGATTATGACGTCGAATTTTCTTGCTTTCCTCTGAATTTCCTATTGTGACGGCATGAAAAAAGGCGACCATGCCTGATGAAGTCACATAGAAAGAACACATCTTTTTGCAGATCATTCGAAAAGAAGGAATAAATTTGCCTGCGTATTGTTTGAAAATCATTAGAGAAACAGATTCCACCACCAAATCTCGTGTAATAAGATATTTATCCACTCTTGACAGTTAAATTTTAAATATTTAAAACGCTCGGCGAGCCTTGCATTTTAAATTTGAAAATTTAACTGTCTCGAGTGGATAAATATCGTATCACACTCGATGCAGTGGTAGAATCTATATGTATATATTGATAAGATCTATAGTCTTATATGATAAACCATAAAAACATTCGTTTAAAGCTTTTATTATATTTTTTTGTCTAAATTTTCATTATCACTGACTTCAATTTTGTCTTATCGATGATGTCTATACCTTTTAATTGAAGAACAAATTTCAAATTAATTTTGAAGTTATATTTCCAAATACTATAAATATCTTGTGGTGCTATAGGTGTTTTGTTGTATTTTATTGAATTCCTGATTTTCCATAGAGTCCATTTAGAATATGTAATAAATGTGTTTAGAAAATTGTCATATTTGAATATTCCTGTGTTTATTCCTAATATCATGTCCTTTTCAACAATAGGAGTATTTATTCCTATGTTTGATTGGATAAGTATTTCTTGAAGCTTGTTTACAATTAACTTTGATGTACTACAACTAAAAAATAAGTGTTGCAGGGTTTCTATATTGTTGTCATTTTGACAAATATGGCAGTTTCCATTTGAGAGTTTCATTTTTTGTAATCTACATTCAGTATAAAGAATATTGTGCATTGATCTCCATTGAAATTCTTTTACTTTATTTTCAATTATCATTTGTTTTAATCCCGACCACAAATTTTCCCAAAGTAAATTGTTTGCAAATATTTCCTCCCACTTAATTTGACATTTTGGAGATACGTCTTTATCTAATAGCGTACAAATATTTTTGAGTTTTAACT